TGCAAAACCTAAACCCTAAATATAAGCCACATGATTCATTCGATTCTATTCACCATTATCCTGTATTAGTAGACAAGTTAAACTAGTACTGGAAACGGAGACGACCCAGGGGGCATATGAATAAGATTGTGAAGCTGTCAATAATATTTGAAAAATTGAGAAGCCACGCACGCAGTCAGCGGAACGGAGTATACGAAGTGACCCAAAGACCCAAAGACCAAAGACCCAAAGCTTTCGCAACGTCAACAAAAATGAAGCAGCCGCACACATGCATGCCTTGAAGCTGTGGCCATAGAGGAGTCAACAACAACAATGAAAATGAATGGCAATGGGGACACCAGAAGGCACGGCAGCAGAGTCGAGACCGCCCTAGTAGATAATCAAGCTGACGTAGGCAAGGATGCGTTTCCGAGCAATGTTTTTCAAGACCTGGAGAATGCCACGAGTAATAATGGAACTCCCAACAATAACGCATCGGCAGCACTACCCGCTGTCGCTGGCTTTCCATCGACGGCTGCGAAATTTGATCAGAATCAAGTATCTCCTCCAAAACTTAGCCGTGTAGTCACAGCGCCGGGAGCCGTGTCTGTACCAGCAAGCGCCCTGGAGACAACAAAAAAGGGACTGGCAAGGAGGACAAGATCCAATCCATCATCACGAGGGCAATCAAGGACACGATCTAAATCACCGCAAAATTTGAAAGACGATTCTGGAACGCAACCAGGAGCCGTATCAACCATCTCAGCCCCAAGTACAAATAGAGGACTTTCAAAAGGAAAGCAAAAACCGCCACCATCCAACACGCCCGATGATGTCAGTGCGTCACCATCCAATCCATCATCAAGAAGAGGGCAATCAAGGACACGATCTAAATCACCGCAAAATTTGAAGGACGATTCTGGAACGCAACCAGGAGCTGTACCAACTATCTCTGCCCCCAGTACTAATAGAGGACTCTCAAAAGGAAAACAAAAACCACCACCACGAAACCCGCCCGATGATGTCAGTGCGTCACCAGGAGCAGTACCGACCATCTCAGCCCCAAGCACAAATAGAGGATTGTCCAAAACAAAAGCAAAACGAGATGCACAGTCTAGCCAAACTGAACGCATGGAAAAAGAAGCTGTGTCGTCCAAAGAACCAGCAGACGGCCAAAGCACAATCAGTTCTGTTGGACTCAATTCATTGGCGCAGACTAGCACGCACCAATTTCATGCGCGGTGGCCCCCAACTCAATCAACCTCAGTGGATAATCTGGACAGATCACAGCAAGGAAACCAGTGGATTCTAGAGGATCTCGCTTCTTCTCTAGATGAAGTTGGTCCTGGCAGCATCAATCAGAACATGGAAGAGGACATGCACATCCAACCTACTCCCATAAATGCCCATTCCACCGATGCAGAAACTGCAGCAGGCACAAGAGAAAATGAGGGACTTGTGCAAGCTGTCCCAGTGAACGATGAACGATCTCGATCATTCTTCCCTCAAGCAGAAGCTGTGGATATGGAGAATGAAAGAGATCTGCAGGAAACCGACAACAAAAGAAAGAGGAAAGAAAGGCAATGCCAAATAATTGGTGCCATAATCATTGGTATCTGTGCAGTTGTAATCATACTTTCACTGGTGTATGGGACAAGAAACAAGCCAGTAACCATAGCTGAGGAACCTATATCGGTTGCGCCAACAAATTCTGTGATGCCCTCTTTCTCCCCATCATCAATGCCAACTGAGACACTACTGTCAGCCAGGTATGAAATCAAGGGGCTTTCAGAAAGCACCGCAGAAGAAATTGGGAAGTATGGCTCCCCACAACAACAGGCTTATGACTGGACATTTCAACATCCAGATTTTGACGACATGCCAAATTGGCGGAAACAGCAGTTGTTCGCATTGGGAACCTTCTACTTTTCCTTTGAAAATTGGCCAGAGGAATACCAGTGGATGGACTACAGCAACACAGAATGTTCGTGGACAACATCCTTGGATTCAAATCCAGGTGAAGCCACAAGCTCTGATTTCATTCCAGAAGGGTATTCCAATCGTGAGTGTTACAGTGCATCGTCAACGTCCAGCTATCTACCAAATCCTTTTGCTTCCAACTGTGATGAGGAAGGCCATTTCAATTATCTCAAGCTCAGTTTGTTGGGAGTTCATGGGTCCATACCAATGGAACTTTTTCTCCTCACTCACCTCACAATATTCGATGTGCGTGAAGCTGGCATATCTGGAACTATCCCTTCAGAGATTGGCATGCTTTCCCTACTGACAAACCTGAACTTGCACAGCACGGGGATCTCCGGTACCATCCCATCAGGCATTGGACAGACGAACCTGACTTGGCTCTACTTGCATGACAATTCTATTTCCGGCTTCTTGCCTTCCGAGTTGGGCCTGTTACCCTTTCTTGAACGCATGGATTTGCAGTTTAACGACATTTCTGGCACAGTGCCCGCTGATCTGGGCAATTGTACCAGTCTGGTTTGGGTAGATGCCAGAAACAACTATCTGACAGGATTGTCTCCAGAAATTGGCTTATTGACAAGCATGCAGTACTTGTTGCTTCGAGACAACACAATCAAGGGAACGATTCCCAGGTAGGTTGCTGTTTACTTGGATGTACAGACTGCTTTCCCTTGGAGCATTCTGACCAAGCCTTGTTATTTCTTCGGCTGTCCCTATTATAGTGAAATTGGGCTCTTATCTAATTTGGTGTATCTCAGCCTTGAGCGAAACTCTATCACAGGAACTTTCCCTTCCACCTTTGATCAGTCTAGCTTAGATCAAATGGATTTGCAGGGCAATCAACTCTCTTCTATCCCAAGCGAGATTGGCCTCCTTGGTAATCAGATTGGACAGCTGGATCTAAGCAACAACCTCATACTGACTTTGCCAAGTGAGCTGTTCCTCTTGACAAGCCTTTCTGTGCTTCAGCTTCACGGCAACCGAATAGAGCAATTGCCACAGGAAATTGACCAGATGACAATTCTGGATTCTTGCGACAACTCCATTGACGGTTGGCTGTCATTTTCAAGCAACAAGCTTTCTTCAATACCCTCAGAAATTGGAAGACTGACAAACTTGCGGACTTTGACTATGCAAGACAATCAGATCTCATCATTTCCTGATGTGAATTGGTCACACTTGACTAACTTGGCGTCCATCCAGCTCTCTCACAACTTGCTGCATTCTACAATTCCATCAGAACTTGGCCTTCTTCAAAAGCTTGTGAAGCTGGACCTGTCAAACAATGCCTTGATTGGGAGCATACCTTCAGAGTTGGGGGAGAATGAGGCAACTGCATATGTATGGAACAACACACTTCGTGATTATGTTGCACAGGATGCACGATTGTTTCAAACGCTTATTTTGAGAAACAATCAACTCAGTGGGTGGTTGCCATCAGAGCTCGGTAAGCTGACAAGTTTGCAGTTGGTGGACTTTTCATTCAACCAAATCTCTGGTCGAATACCAACGGAATTTGGGCAGATCTTGACCACAGTTACAGAATACAATTCTACACTGGATGAGTTTGTTGACAAAGAGGTATCCCTCGAAGCACTTGAGCTCAGCAACAATCAACTAAGTGGTCACTTGCCGTCACAGCTTGGCATGCTGTCCAGTTTGGGCTTTTTAGATTTGTCATTCAACCAGATTTCTGGTCCAATCCCAACCCACTTTGGACAAATATTGACAACTGTCCAGTGGTATGACTATGAACAGAATGCCTGGGATTCACAAGATTTATCTTTACATGCACTTGTCCTGAGCAACAATCTGCTCAGTGGCCCGTTGCCATCTGAACTTGGCCTGTTGACATCATTGGAAAGGCTTTTGCTGAACAACAATCAACTGCATGGCTGGTTGCCTTCGGAGCTTGGCCTCTTGACCGAGCTGGAGACCTTGGATTTGTCGTTCAATGGCCTAACAGGATCCATTCCCAGTGAGCTAGGCAATCTGAATGCCTCTGTCAGCCGAATCAAGCTGTCGGGCAATAGCTTCTCTGGGGATCTTCCAGAAGGCCTATGCCCTCTGGTACTCCCCCCAGCACTTCATGATGAATTTTGCTGACTTTTTCACATGCGGTGAAGATTCAATACATGCTGGGCTAGCTTTTGTTGACTAGTGAATTTTGTACTGCAGTTTATGCATGAAAGCAATGTGGGTCCTTAGCCTACATCACACAACCAACACCTACCCTTCTCTAGCCTACCCTTCTCTAGCAGTATAACGCTTGCATAGCTATCCCTATTTCTGTGCCAAAAACTTTCATTGAGTGTGTTATCATGATGTCAGCCCTGAAGGCGAGTCCGTCCAACAGCACAATCCCATTCAGAACAAAGGCAATCCCCAACCAACTTAGTACATGTATCAGGATGCAACCATGGTAAACCTCCACCCGAAGTATCCTATCCCATAGCATGGAAGTATTAGCTGCATGGACTTTCCTCTGAACCTGCGTTGAAGCGAGCCGATACGAAACGTACCAGATCCTTCATCCAGAGTACTTTGGTGATGACATGCTTGTCTGATTCTGGACGGATAGTACCTTGCAAGTCGTTGGTATCTGGCTGGTTCTTGTTCGCACAGACTGTCACTCGGAGAGCAGTAGTGACGAGCCACAGATCGATGATGCGGGACGGCAATGACGACACGCTCTCTTTAGCTGCATGTCGCTGATGACAAGTGATTTGGAGAGGGTCTCGAGGCAAGCAAGATTGCTCCTCGAGTGGAGTTGCGAACCCAAGATTGCTATTGCAGGATCCCAAGATTGCTACGGGATCCTCGTGGCGCGAACAGTGAGGAGGTGATAGGAACCAGGAATGCCGAGGTTGGCGATCGAGCTCAGTTCTTTCTCGTGCGTCGAGTTGTTCCGCTTTGTGTAGTTTGCTTGTTGGGTGCGTTTCGGGGATGATGGACTTGATGCATCGCTGGATTGGCGGGAATCCCACCGTACAAGTGCATAAAACCTGCTCATTGACACGTTTCACCCATCAAAGGTTGGGATTCACCGCCACCTCAGAAGAACGAATCCAGGAACTCACTCAGTATGATGGAAAGTGAGTGAGTGAGGAATGGAATCGGAACTGGTGCAGTTAGATTCGGAACTGGTGCAGCTACACAGCTATCTAGCTAGCACTAGATGTCATGATGCTCCGGTTTTGCCTCGAGCGATCAAAGCAACGGAGCCTTCCAGCGATCAAACGCAAGGAGGAGAGGTACTAGTAGAAGAGCTCTGAAGAACACTGCCGTAGTGATATCGAGAACCTGTGCAAATGCAGCGTACTGAGTAGTATGATGCTTTAGAGACGAGGCTTGACGATGTAGTCTTGCAAGGTGACTGCTGTTATGGTTGGTTGTCCCTACAATGGACAGTTTCTATTGAAGAGGACCTGCATCACTAGGACTCGTCATTGCGGCAACAGTGCATGCAGCCAGCAAGAGTTAAGCAAGTATAAAATGCAACCAGTAGAAATCATATGAGTCATCATGGTATTATGGGCCAATGGCTTGGATGCAAGCTGACTGTCCAGCTGCATGTATGTGCTCTGTGTCTTTTTGAACCTGTGGGTATGATGATGCTGGCCATATTTACTGTACTTGCCCAATCTCGAGTCGAGTCGCTAGCTAGTACGTTCAACGGCATTCACAAACTTTGGTTGCTTGGTTGATGGGTGCTGATGTTTTGGTGATGGCTCTTCGTGGGAAGCGGCATGACGGAGTCGAAAAAGTGAGCAGCCGCATCGGAGTTGCCTTGAAACATGCATCCACGTCGATGATGACTCACACCGTTAAGCAAGTGATGTCGTGTTCGGTTCAAGCGGGATTTGCGTTCCTTCCAAATGATTCTGAGAGTCTCCGCGAGGCCCGAGGTTTGCACTCTCACAAAATCATAATTTTCCAACTCAACCTTCGGAAGCCAGACAAGACCACCATGGTCCTCGCTAACATCATGAACCCCTCTCGGTACACTACAATGAGACTCACACTTTTTATGGGATTGTGCCTGGCTCAAGCTGACGCGTTCACGGTTATGCCTTCATCAGCAACACGGCTATCCCGCCCTTTTGGAGCACTCCCAATGAAAACCACCGCAACGCCAACATCATCACTGTCTCTGTTCCCAATGTCCATCAGCAGCGAACTCTCGTCCTTTAGCAGCGAGCTCTTATCTAACGAAGATTTGGTGCAGGATGAGTTTATGAATGGAATGACGCATGCCTTGTTGGACTTTACGACCCTCTGGGGTGCGACCACCGTCGTAATTCGATTGGCCACTGTCATTGGTCGTATCTTCATCCTTGCTCAAGACTTGGACCACGATGTATTGCCCGACGAACTTGCCTTTCAAATTTTCCTCTTTGCTGTGGCCTGTCATGGCCTGATCACGGCGTCGCTCCCCAAGATCCAAGCTCACTTGGAAGTTCCTCATCTCATGACCTTTCCGGACCGTCAAGCTTTCCGTTCCATCTTCCGACCAGCGGGGATCTCCTGGAGTCAATACAAGGAACTCCACTTGAGCTCCATGGATTGGGTAACTGTGGAACCAGGTCAAGTGATATTGGCCAACGAAGAGGAGCAAGATGCCGTCTACTGGCTCTACCAAGGCAACGTCAGTGTTCAAGGCAACACCAGCACGCACAATGTCTGCAGTCAGAACCATGCACCCGGATTGCGTCTTCTTGGCGAAAAGAGACTGGCCATGCTTCTCGACAGTCGTCAACGACGTGCAGAGACCAAGACGACCAAGAGCAGCAGTCAAGTCGCGGCCGTGGCCGGTGAGCATGGCGCCAAATTGCTACGCATGAATACCACCAAGCTCGAGAAGCATTTGAAACGTGATCCCGACCTGAACAGCTCCCTCAGTCGCCTAGCCTTTCAAGGAATGCAAGACAAGCTTGATGCTCTCCTTTGGAAGGAGGCAACCAACGAACTATCTGGCTAAACCAGAACAGGCAAGGAGAGAAAATTGACTACATTGTGCATACCTTTTAGACGATTCATGATATATACAGAGCCCGAGCGAGGGAAGAAACAACCAACCACTCGGCAAACCTAGACGAACATACATGCATTGCGTATACAGAATAAATAGACTTTACAGTAACTAAACCAAATCAATAGACATGCTTTTGAATCAATCAGACTAGTATTCTCGCGTGTAGATCTAGTGATCTAGTAGCTAGCTCTGTACCGGCTACCGGTAGCCAGAAGATAAGCAAGAGCGCTAGCAAGAGTGTTCGTCTTTACCGGTCATTTCCTGGCCAGTATCATCTGTACGGTGTGCAATTTTGCCACTTCCATGTCCGACAAGCTTCCGCGCGCATCGGGGATAGCCCGGAACGGGAAAGGCTTAACGGCCTGTCTTCAGCCGACCTACACACCGGTGAGTACGGCTCGGTACGACTAAACAACTCAATTTTTTAAATTTTACAATGTCTCGTGTCTCGTACTTTAATAAACTTACTGGTTAATGGTTGTGACCAGCAAGCAAGCCGAAAACGGCAAGAAGCAACCCCACAATCACAAAGCACTCGGGACCGTTGCCTCCAACCCGCCACCAGCCGACCCTTCTTTCATAATATTATTTTCCACCACCCGTCGACAACTAACATGGAGAAACTGACCACTACCACTACAACCACTGGTATTACAGAGATGGACAGGAAGCTGTGCCGTTCCGATTCCACCAGTTCAACGTCTATAGAATCGGATACCGACAACAGTGACAGCGACAGTGACTGCAGCATTGCCGACTGTTCCATTACTCCAGAAATTGTAACCAATGATGCTGACGACTTTCCTTTGCTTCCCACTCGGTGGTATGCATTTTTCGTGTTGGGAGCTCTGGCATACACAGTGTCACCCTATGCCAAGTACTTGACTGCCTTCTACATTGTGACATGGACTCTGAGTCCTGTTGCCGATTGGAGCATCATCTTCCAGCTGGCCAAGCGTAGCTTCAGTGGAAGACATGACGGTCTCCCCCTCCGCTTCAACCTCATTGGCATTGCCATTCTTGCCTGGTTGATATTTGTCAGGTTCCCACTGGAATGTGTACTTTGGTATCTCGATGAGATTCTCTTCTCTGGCTACAAGGCGACTAAAGTGGAGGAGCCTCTATTCATCTTGGGACAACCACGTTCGGGAACCACCAAATTTCAAGATGTCTTGTCCGCAGACCACGACTCCTTTTGCTCCATGTACTTGTATGAGATGCGCTTCCCCTATCTTACCATTCAGTATGTCATTGATTTCTTCTACAAGATGGACCAGATTGCCTTGGGAGGAAGAGCCTACAACCTGGCCATTCGCATGGGAAAACTCAATCTCTTGCCAGAGTCAGGACAACGCAAGCAGATGAGGCGCCTTCGATTTGACTTGCCAGATGAAGATGATAACCTCTTCTTGTTCCACGGTCCTTCCCACATGCTCATGACAGCGTTCTTCCCGTCCCATGCCAAGATGTTCTACCAATTTGGCAATCTGCCCGAACCGTCTCGTGTTCGCATGATGAAATTCCATCAGAGATGTGTGCAAAAGATGATGTACCGCCGTGGCCATGGGAAGCGCTACCTGTGCAAGTGGGTGGCAGGTTGGAATGGTCTCTTGGAGCAATCCAAGCAAGTGTATCCCGATGCCAAGTATGCCGTCATGGTGAGGGATCCCAGGGAACAGTTGCCATCCTGGCTCAAGCTGCAGGGTTTGTTGAGTGAGCAAATGGCAGGACACAATGTGATGAAGATCCCCAAAGTCAGAAGGGATATCATTGATGTCATGGCTCAGTGGCATCAAACACAGGCCGAGTTTTGTGCTTCCTCGTCGACAGCCAAGCATATCATTCAGTTTGAGGACTTTGTGGCGGACATTCCCCGAGAAGTCACCAAACTGTATGACTTTATAGGACTTCCCATCCAGCCTGGTTCCCCCTTTCACGAGTCCTTGCTGGAACACCGTCGCAACCAATCCAATCACAAGAAGACTGTCATCCCGAAAGAGGAGGCTTTCATTTCGGAAGAAGAAATCTTGTCCCGGTTTCCGCCCCTCCCTCTAACATTGATTTCGCCTCCACAGTGAAGGATTAAATCCCAAATAAATGGATTCTTACGACTTTCGTACACAGGCGACGCATAAACCAGCCATAGTTTATATAATCCTGCTTCAACAGCACAATAGAAACTCAAAAAACATCTATCTGCAGTGGATATACGTGTACCGTGCCAGCTGATCGAATCGAATCGAATCCACCTGGTTCTGCTCGTAAAATGTAGCTAGCTAGCGGCCAAGCAAGCAAAACCATGGCAAGCCAACGTTTCGTTTCCTCCCCGCAGCGCAGTAACTAGCTAGACTACATACAACATGAAGAACCAACCCTCGTAGTAGATAGACAAAGGCTTCATCCCATCTCTCATCTCGTAGGAACAGCGCAATCTGGCTCTGCTGCTGTCCGCCCGCCGTGGAAGAACCTTAAAAAGTATTCCTTCTGGAAGCGCAGGAAGAAACCCAGATCGTCGCTGTCGTTTGGCTGTGATTGTCGCCCGAAGTGTCCCTGTCATCCGCTACGACGTTCGCGAGCACGGACCCGAAAACACAATGAAACTGGACTACAAACGATTATAGGATAAGATATATTCTTTTTATCAGGCGATTAACTTTATATATAAAATCACAAAACTCCTTTCATAGATGCCTCGTGGATGGAATAGTGTCGTGCGTAGTACCAAGCATTGTAGGATATAACTAGTCTACTTGGTAAGATTGGACGCATACGAGACCTTTGCCTTGGTATCTTGCGCCAATGCTTTTCCATACCCCGATCGATACTCGGTTCCACTGGACGCGGGATCTTTGGGAGTATTGGGTCGCGCCCATTCGAGTTTGAGAATCAAATGATCGTATCCGTATCCCTGCAATTTTTCCATGGCGCGGGCGGCATCATCCTTATTGACAAACGACACGAACGCAAATCCACGGCTGATGAGTGTTTCCTTGTCTTTGGCCAAATAAACGCGTGAAATGCGTCCAAATCGTTGAAACAAATCTTGCAAATCGGCTTCGGTGGTATTTTCACTAATATTCGTGACCCGAATGGTATTCAAATCGTCGCGTCGTTCTGGTTTGAACGCCGATGGACCACCGCCCGGGGCACCCGACAATCCCGCACGAGCGGCCGGAGGAATGTACTTGCCGGGAGCACCTGCCGCAGGTCCTCCGGCCGCCGCGGCACCACCCGCTCCAACTTGGGTCCATCCAGTAGCGGCACCACCTCCTTCGGCCGCCACACCAGTAACATCGTATTTGCGTTCCAATTGACGACGTTGTTGTTTGGCCCAAAACGCATTCAAGTTACCAGCAATCGCCTTGGTGGCATCTTCTTCTTGCAAATCGTTATCGGCATTGGGATCTTCCAAGAATACTTCATCTTTGCTTTGAATTGTGGACCGCTGCGCATTGCCATCTTTGCCATCACCATCTTGGCAGGCATCTCCAAATTTCTTCCACTGCCGACGTTCGGTAATCGATTTGGCTTCGCGACGACGTTCCGTGGCCACCTTGAGTTTCGTCACGGTCTTCCACAATTGATTGGGATTGGCCGGATGAGGACGATAGGAAGTCACAATCTGAACACCCTTGGCGTCAATGCGAGACTTGTGCGTGGGAGGAACCACGACACCCGTCGTGGTCACATCGCCACTGGTACTTTTGACGGGAGATACCACTACCGCCGGCTCTTCGTCGTCCGAATCATCCAAATCATCTCCCCAACGTGGTGCTGACATTGTAATTATTGTAGAAGATAGTAGTTAGTACGGTAGTAGCTAGAAGACGGTGTTGTGTTGCAGTAGTCGAGTTGTGGACAAGGAAAGGAATGAGACGGCAGCTTTCTTTGTGTTGTTGCTGCTTTCATCTTTTCATGAAACGTGCGTGAAACCTGTGCGGCCATTGTTGATCTGGTTATGAGCAAGGATGCTTCCACGCTACGACAACACGGTTTGGGGCAGATCCGCTACCCGTATGGATCACGATGCATCCTCCAATTCAATTCAGCCCGCTGTGAGTACTGTATAATTTTAAAATAATGAGACAGACATGAACTTACTTGTTGTTGCATGTTTATTTGGCAAAGAGAGTTTGTCTGTTACGTTTTGTGTGTGGGTGGTTCTCCTTCCCTACATACGGTACATGTATTCGACTTGACTTTTGACTGGCTGGCTGGCTGGAACCGCAAAGCAAAGTGTGGAACCGGGGACGTTTGGTCGGTTCCAATAAACGTGATTATTCTCTCTCCTCTACTAGCTAGACCCTCCATTTGTTTTGTTTGTTTGTTTGTTTGCGGATTGGAAGAACCATCCATGCCTCGTGTCTAGAGATGATCTAGTACGGTAGTACGGTAGACTTGCAGGCAGCCAGCCAGGTGGATGCCTACCATAGCACCGAGTAGTAGATTAGCTAGCAGCATTGCTGCTCCCAAATGCGATTGATGCACATACATGTACCTTTATATTTGTGGTGGTAGGGGGGTTGGAGTAGGGAAGGTAGTCGCCGTGCCGCACCGCACCGCACCGCATCGTACTGATACCTACCTTGACCGTATCGGTACGAGGACCAGCCACCAACCCAATCTGGACATACTAGTATGCAGACAATTGTCCACCAGTACCAGTATCAAGTGAAAGTCCGGCTTGGGGTTATACCGGTACTACCATACCTCCAATTCAACCTTACACTATAGAAGAAATGAGACCTGCACTTGTGACATCATCGTTTGGTTGCAACTTTGAAGAAAGATTGCTTGTTTGTCTATGTGGTTCCACAGTCAGAGTTAGCCAAGCAATGCAACCCAGGCCAGCATCAGGTACCGTATCTTTCAAACAACTGATTTCGTTGAGCAACTCGCTCAACAGTGTGGAACCGTGGACGTTCCCTGGGCGCTCAGCATCTCTCGCTCTTGATAGCTAGCTTGCTTGGGCTGCTGTACATGTAGTAACTGGTAACCACTCCTGGAGCGAGTTGCTACTACAGTAGCTAGCTAGCTAGCTAGGCCGCTGGTAGCTAAAAAGACAAGTAGGTTGGTCCTGCTCCTCATGAAAGCAACGATGTCTTTTCTTACAATCACGGTCGCGGATCAGCCTCCCGGTTTGCAGGTCTGGTACCACAGAATCCTTCTAGGCGGCTCATGAAGGATGAGGTTGGGGCATAATTCGCGGCATAATTTCGCCCAGGAAGTCCAGCCCGCAGAGCTAATACGGCTGGTCACACAAGTTGAAGAGAAAACAGTCCAACGCGCACCCCTGTCACAAATTTTGGCAAATGCCTCCAGCAAGGAACATCGCCGAGCAAAAGCATCGATGCTGTGGCAATGAGGTTCATGAGACTACAACGTCGCGATTTGATGCACTACAACCCAAGCCAACTCTCTATTTATCATACAGTACTATAGCTACTAGCTAGAAAGCAACAAAAGATGCAAGCAGCCGACCCTACTAGCAGCGTCACCGAGATCTCGAATCATGAAGAAGCTGCAGACTGCATCAGCAGATGTGTCATCATCTGGAAACGAGCAACAGGTTATCTGCGAAAGGCAATCATAAACTCCGTTCTATCGGTTAGTCTATTGGCAGCCCGCAACCCAAAAAGATGCATAGGCCTCGTCTGCCTGATGTCCATCACACTCATCACCACAGGCTTGTTTACCAATTTTTATTTGGACCCCGGAGACGAGAAAATCTTTGCCCCCACTGACTGCCTGCCACAAGAGCACGGTCGGTGGGTTGGCGAAACCTATCCTGATGTTCGACGGCCAACCGTTTTGACTGTGCATGCTGATGGGGGCAACATCATGACCTATGAAGCTATGAGACGAGTCTTCCAAGTCACAGACATGGTCCGGAATATCGACGGTTATGAGACCATCTGTGCGGGTGAAAATGGGGACAATGAGGGCTGCCGGATTCCTGGTCCAACCAGGTTCTGGAACCACAATGTGACGTTGTTCGAAGAGCAAACACAAGGATCTGATGAGGCGGTGATTCAGACTTTATCCCAAGAATCTTTGGACGGAGCCCCCTTCCCACATGACCTCTTTATTGGAAAGCTACAATGGGAGGTCGTCGACGGGCACAACCAAACGAACAATTCTCTCATCACGTTTGCTCAAGCTATCACTAGTCTTATCGAGATCCCAGAGTGGTCCAATGGAGAGACTGAAGCTTTTGAGCTGAAAATGATCAATCTGCTACAGCCTATCAAAGACGAATGGGCAGCTCAGGGAGAAGACCAGCCTTACCGACTAGAGCTTTATGCCTTCCGTTCTATTTCGGATGAAGTGACCAGAGCCATCGCGAATGACGTACCCTTAATCCCCTGTGTGTTTGCCATTATGGCGGCATTCACGTGCATGGTTTTCTGTCGCAGAGATATCATCCAGTCTCGAGCACTGCTTGGCATCGGATCGGTCGTCACAATTCTTCTTTCTATCATGAGTGGGTTTGGGCTTGTCTTTATCATCGGGTTGCCGTTTACCAGCATGACTTCCATCCTACCGTTTGCCATTTTTGGCATTGGCCTCGATGACACTTTTATCATCGTAGGGGCATTCCTGAGGACAGACCCTACGAAAGATCCTGTTGAGCGAATCCGAGACACCATGGAAGAAGCTGGAATGAGTATATCCATGACAACCATCACAACTACTGTGGCGTTTGTAATGGGAGCATTAACATCCAGCATCCCCATTATTCAATGGCTGTGTCTTTATGGTAAGATTTGCTCCAGACAGGAAGCCAGAGGAAGTTGTACTGAGCCCATGACAAAACTAACCCAAACTTTTCTTGATCAGCCTTTCCGACCATCTGCATTGATTTCCTCTATCAAATAACCTTCTTTGTCGCCATTCTTGTACTGGATGAAAGGCGAATTGCGGCAAATCGAAGAGGCTGTTGCGTTTGCTTCAGAGTGAAGAACCACGACAAGGAGGATGTTGACACGGATGAGATGGACAAGGATGTCTCGCCAGTAGCCAACCATGTCGAAGCACCAATGGTTGACCGGTTCATGAACTGGTATTGTGAGCACCTGCTGCATCCTGTGGTGAAGAAAATTGTTATGATTGCCTTCTTAATGCTGTTTGGAGTCTGTATATACAGCACCACTCTCCTCAGACAAGACTTCAAACCAACAGACTTTCTGCCTGAAGTGTCTTACGCTGGGGAATACCTTGATGTCATGGACTTATATTCCAATCGCAAGCTACCAATCCTGGTACACTTTAGGGATGTCAACCAGTCTGACCCCCAAGTTCAACAGCAAATGATCGACTACCTGAATGATCTAGGGGACCTTCCTCAGGTCAATTCCACCCCAGAAATCTGCTGGGTCACAGACTTTCAAAAGCTACTGAATGGGGATGACCCGGCCTTTCAAGCGTACTCATCTCTTTTCGGCAACAACAGCACTCTGACATTCATGGAAAAATTGGACATCTTGCTGAATGTACCAGAGATCAACGATCTCTATGGGAAGGACATTGTACGTAATGAAGCTGGAGAAATTGTAGGCTCCTCATGTCTCTTTTCTGTCAACGGCATTGACCTTAATGACATCAACGACCAGAGCGACTTCCTTGCTGACCAACGAAGAGTTGCCGAGGCACAGCCAGCCAATCAAGGTGGTGGCAGATTCAAGTTTTTCGCATTTGACCCCATCTATTTCATCTGGGAGTTCTACACTGATGTGCCCTCTGAGCTTACGTTTACCACAGTTTCCGGTGAGTTCACTAGCTAGGGGAACATGTGCTTTGAACACTTTATTTGACAGTGCGACTAACCAACCTCCCATCCTGCTGCCTCAGGTGTTGTGGCAGTTACCGTACTTGCATTCATCCTCATCCCACACTGGACGGCTGCACTCTTTGTGCTTCCATTTATGTGTATCCTCTACATGGACCTATTGGGGACGCTCCAGTTTGCCGGGCTCAGCATCAACCCCTTGACCTACATCTGCCTTGTGATCTCGGTGGGTCTCTTGGTGGACTTCATCATGGTATGTTGAGCTCTGGTTATACAGCTGTTGCAGGGAGGCCTTGCCAATAATGTAATGTGCAGAACCTCACATATCCTTTCTTGTCAGCACATCCTTCTCCGTTATTATGAATCTACCATGCCTACTCGCGAGGAAAAGGTCAAGGACACTCTGAGAACCATGGGGTCTTCCATCTTAGTGGGTGGCCTCTCTACCTGTCTGGGGGTGTTTCCATTGGCATTCAGCAGCAGTGGAATCATTAAGACAGTTTTTGTAATGTTCATGGCAATGGTTGCCTTGGGTGTTTCGCATGGTTTACTGCTGTTGCCAGTGATCTTGTCCTATGTAGGACCTACCGTATGTATCAAACTGGGACGAGGTGACTACTATTTGCCAGAATTGGCGGAACAGGAGGATCGTATTGACAACGAACCGGAAGCACCACCGGAAGCACCACCACCAGCAGTGGAGGATAGCGACATCCAACCTTATGTATCCGCTGCCATGGCGCAATGGCCTTCAGAAGATCCACTCGCTCCTACCGGTACAGAAGAAACACTCGACACTACAGAGGAAGAAACACCCAGAAACACAGAATACTACACATCATCCGTGGCAAGCTCCGATGAGGATGCTATTATTATGTCTCGTGTTAGTTTTGATAGTGGAATCGTAGAAGCGGAGCCAGAAAACAGCATTGCCGGAAACAAAGAAGACTGCGATGATGATGCCGAGTTTTCGATTTGATCCCTTCCCTACTATAGCCGGAGAAGGAAGCCGATGCCTACTGGCTTCGCACCGGTTGCGCCTTGACAAACAACAATAAGGCTTGATCACACTTCCGATCATTCTTCCCTCCTACATGTACACATATTTTTCGGGCTATACTTACAGCTAATAATCGATGCAAGAACGATTGCATGCATTTTACATCTCCAGCCAGGTTGTTGCTCAAGAAAGAGGCCCTGGCATGCTGCTTTTACTTCCAGCCACTTCCGCTCTTGCGACGACTAATAAAGACACGAAGCATGTCGTCTCCTTTGTTAGCTAGAAGCCACATCAAGGGAACCGTCGGGAGTCTCGTAGAGCGCACCAGTGGCATTGATGTGCTGGTGGACAAAGGCGATGGCTTGCTACTGGGCTGTGGCTGAGTATCCATTCTTAACTTTCAATTTGCATTCCACCCTCCAACGGGCGCTGCACCCGTACGAGCTTGCCCTCTGTTCCAGCTAGCTGGTGTGTGCGGCGTCGAACGCATCAAGCCACCGCAATCATGTAGTTCTAGCTAAGCTAGTAGGTTGTAACTTCGAGCTTTGCACCGCAAGCTCGATGGCCCTATTGGTGGCTAGCAATAATTGTGGGCGGTACCGGTAGCATTGGTTCTGACGACGGATTCGGAAAGGATTGTCCTTTTTGGTCCTCGAAAGCAGATTTTACTCCTCTTTGGAGGTTAGAAGTGGAGAACCAAACCGTGCGAAAGCAAAGCCAAATCTGGCTACGGTATGATATGACAACTACGGGTAGAGAGAATGGTAATAGCCAATTCATTCCGAACCCGTAGATGCATCTCATTCGTTCAACGTCCAAGCAGGGTGGAACCTCGATAGATCCTTCGCTCACACATGCAATGACAGGAGAGACTTTCGCAACGTGGACCCATCCATGCCTCATTCCAACCAACACTCGGATCATCTGCTACCACCACCCAGAATAAATCAAGAGATCAATAACTTTCTGGAGTCTGGGATAAGATACCTCAGTTTTGGGTTACCATTCACTGCGGAGAGAGTGCAGTGTATCTTGATGGTATCATCCTTGCTAACTAGCTAGAGTACTACATCATTGGAAGATGAGGACGAAGCGACAACAATGGTTGCTACCTCGAGTCCATGTACTTTTATTCGTGGTCCTGCTGTTGGTGACGTTTCCCAGCGTGTCAGTATCTCTGCAACGTCCACAACAACAACAACAAGCCAATGCTCGAAGAAACACACCTAATATCCAACCGAAACAACAGCGTGGAAACCATATTGGCACTACTGCTACCTTCTCTACCAATAGCAATAGCAATATTCGCCTCTGCAAATTGGAATCGCAAGTGATGAATCTGTTTCAATGGACGATGGTATTGTTGTCGTGGTCTCACATCAAGACGACACTGGCACAACGCAAAATGACGATTGAACCACTCTGTCTCTTGATTGCCAGTTTGTGCAATCTCTCCTATGGCATGTTCAGATACCTCACTACCAAGAGGCCCTCCTCTTCTTCTTCAGTCATTACTGACAATACTACTACTACTATAAAACAGTGGATGCGACAATGGAAACGATTCGAACTGGTGCATTGGTGTCTGACGGCCTACATTGTGTGGTGTCATTATCGACACGATATTCACTTACTGACATTGGGAATGAGTTGGTTTGTCTCGGTGTGGATTCGCCACGAATTGCAGATTCCACGCACACTTACTACAACTAAACAACAATTCTCTTGGACATGGCCCAAACGATGGTATGTCGTAGTGGTGGAATATGGGGCTGTCTACGTCCCCGCATCGATGCTCTTGTGGGGCAGTGTCGCCGCCATGCAACTGCACGCGGACGATGGACGCATCGGATACTGTATTGCCTTGGGGATTCCATTGGTCGCGAATGTACTGGCATCCATTGCCGTCATGGTCGATCTCGAAGATTTGCGGGATGCTCCTTCTGTTCTACTCTTTATGACGACGCAACGATTGGATCGACTCGTGCGCATCTTGACGGGTTGGTGGATGCTACTGGGAGTATCCATTCTCAGTTTGGTATTGTCCACGGGGGTGCAACTCCAATTTCCAAAGGGTATGCTGGTGTGGCACCGTGACACGCTTACCGTGGCACGTCAAGACTACCATCCCCCGTGGGCGCCACTCGGTATTCTCATTTGGGTCTGTCTTCCTTACTGGATTCGGTACTGTGTCAAAACATTTGTTCGAGAACACGATGGAACCGTGGCATTGTCGCAACCAACTACAAAAACAACAACCAACACCTTTTGACATGTACGAAGCGATTGATTTGATTTGATTTGATTTGATTGGAGTTGGACTCTTGTCAAGTCACAAAGATCTCTGTGTAACGTAATCTACTGTGCTACCTACCATCTGGTGTTCTTTTCTGTCTTTTTTCTGACTATTTGTAACAATCGCTATTATTAGTACTATAATATAATACAGTACCAAAGTAATCTGTTTTGAACTATTTCATTCAAAGCAGAGCATCACCATCATCGTTTGCGATTGGATTTGTTCCTTTCTCTTGGACTCCCGCAATCTGTCGTTCTCGACATTGCGTGCTTCCCTTTAGCCAACAAAGCAACAAAGCAACCACACAACTGATGGCTTTGGGGGAATGGCCTTGTGTGAAGATTATAGCCGTATCATACATGCACATACGGTAGCCCCGTCTCTCAACTTGATCGCGGTTCCGGACGGTACCACAGCTTATTCCCGGCGCAGTTTTCGTATTTTGATCACCGGGCACGTAAAGCTAGAAAGAGCTGCTTTTCCTCTTTCGAGTAGCAGCAAGATGATTCGATTCGATTCAATTCAATTCAAATCCACAATAATGTCAGCCAAGGTTGGTTGAGCCGAGGTCGTAGCATGCTGCATGCATGCATGTAGGACAGGATGGACTCGCTGCGTACCGGTACAGTACCGGTAGGACGTGAAGGTGGTGCCTACTATGGTACCACAGTAGAGAGTTTGATGCAGAATTGGGTTCTTTGCTTGGATTGATTGATTCGATTCTGGCTAGCTGCCAAGGTTGTCACAAACTATTCCTGTTCTGCCTCGGTAGAACTCCATACGATGGGACACTCCCTCAAAAGGCCATAGACAGTTGCCGCTCGGAGAAGCTCGTCCAGACTGTCATCTTCTTGCACAAGAACGGCATGCAAGAGCGCCACCAATGTCTGTCGCGTCGTTCCTGGATTCTGCGCGATCGATCGTCCATACCGGTTCAACGTCGAATAGTACCGCACTCGCGGATCGTGAACGTTGTTCTTGTAACAGACGTAGGTTGTCGTGTTTTCATGCGCCAGAGTATCAATGAGGGCCTTGTTCAAATCAATAGCAAATCCATCGATAGACAAGTACGACAGTGTTGTGGCTGGCACTCGTACTAGCATGGAAACCACAAAATTGGTAATATCGACTTGTCGAAGCAGACGACTCGGATTCGTCAGAGTCAAATGCTTCAAACGGGGCATGGTGTGTTGAATGCAGTCCAGCAGCCATAAAAAGCAGTCTTCTTTCATGGAGCAGTCGTCGATGCAGAGTTCTTCGATTGCTGATCCGTGTGTCATTTGAGTATCATCATGATTGTTGTTGTCGTCGTCATCATCCCGATGATCTAGAACCTTGCAGTTGGCTAGCAAAACCGATATGGGTGTTGTGACAGCACTGGCAAAGATGATGCGCAGGGCTCCCTGGTCCACGTTGCAACTTTTTAAGACCAGTGAATGAGTGTGTTCCATGCAATGATGGTTGATGAGTAGTTTTGGCAACACGTGTGCCAGATTCCTGGCACAACTCTCATTGATGACACTGGCGGACAACTGAATGGCTCCCCCAAAGGTTTCTGGAAGTAGGTGCGCCACCAAGTGTTGTATCACTGTCTGTGGCAGTGTATCGTTTTTGAGGGCATACATCAAGGGACTGACACCTAGTGAATTGTTCCTAGTAATACTGGAAGAACTTTTGTTGGGAGCTCTACCGTATGGTCGTTGAGGAGTGTCTGGAATACGTCCAGTGGTTGTTGCCAGTGTCGACACTTGGCCGCATAATGGAGTGGTAGATTTCCCTTTTGATCCACTTCCAGGAGGGCATGTTCCTGACGACTCTTCTCCAGCAAGAACACTAGAACGTCCAAGGAGACTCCATGTCGACAGGCTACATGTAAAAGGGTTCCTTGGTCTTCTCCCTGACGCTGCAGTCGGGCGGAAGGATACATTTGGTAGACTTCTTGAATTACCTCGAGAGGCGCTCGAGCGGCAATGAGATAGGCAATGGGATATGCCTTTTTTTGCTGTTCCTTTTCCAGAAACTGAAAGGGCAGAAATGATCCGGGTCCATCTTGTCGATAGCCACCAAAGAGCTGCGCGCTAAAGTCGTTGTGTTTCCGTATAAAGCCGAGCAAATAGCCATAATCGCGTGCTTCATCATAGTTGTTGGAGTGTATAATAATAGTATCGAGCCATTCGCCATTCCGAAGAAATTGATCCACTTCACAGTGGGCCCGTTGCCAACTTTTTTCTTCCGAGAAAGCATCATCCGTATCAGTATCACCGCGAGTAGTGGCAGTCTCGTCCAGAAAGGCGGAAGAAGTAAAGGATGCCGTCAAATGGTTCATCTGCTCAAGTGGGGATTCAACTTTAGAAGGCAAAGCCAGCAATCAGGAGGCTTTCACAGCCTTGAAACTTGTCCTACTACTTGTACTGGCTAATAGTTCGATAGCCGGTCAGCCAAGGGTTCAGTCCTCATGAATGGCAAGACCTCCTGCCGCCACAGTGTTTCTTTTTCGTTGGCCGTTGTTTGTTTTTTCATTGGAAATTAGATGCCATCACTAAGGATAAAGATAAGCCTTGTCAATCAAGTTTATCGTCAAGGCTCCCCGGCGATCGAACGGCCAAACGCAGAACCTTGCCTGCCTTTCCTATGTTTCCAGTTCCTCTGAGCTTTCCAAGAACGAAGTGGCGGCGACAGTCTCCTATTACTTTGCTTATGCATGCTCGCCGTTGACACATACAGGGGCCAGTCGAGTCTCCTTTGTTTCTCCCTCTTCTGGGCGGGATCCATTGGGAATGACCCACGAAAATTGGCTGATGCCAACGCACATGAGTAATCTTCATGGTGGAAACTTCTCTGACTCTCTCGACGTGCAATTTGAAACAACCAAGGTAGTAGCGATTCGCACCTCTAAGGCGTATCTTTCGGATCTTGTTGGTTTTGAGAAAGATCCAATCCGTTTCAAAGATTCGATTCATTCCGCACCTCCAAGGTATATCTTTTGGATCTTTGTCAAAGATCGGCGCGGATCTTGGGGCAAACCCGGTACTAGCTACCGCACCGGTACGAATGATGCAACACTTTTGTTCAGTCGCCGCTTTTGGAACTGTATTTAGAAAGGCGAATTCAATTATCTAACAGGGTTAGACTAGAACATGGCTCCATCCAGATAAATCCTTGTGTTTCAAAGGCAGGCGACCGACGTTGTTACTGTAGCTGTGTTTGTTTGTGGCTGCCCTGTATGGAGACGTCCACCCATGATTCCATCTCATACTGGAGCATTGAAATTGTTTGTTTGGGGACCGGTTGGCTACCTGGTGGCTTTAGCTAATTCAAACACCGACATATGGCGCACAATCACACGATAGTTGGTCACAGTCGACTCGCAACAACGTCAGCGACGAAATGTTGCAAATGGTCGTCGGAATGCTTCCCGTAAAGGCATTGTCAACAAGCTCATCCACGGCCGTCCACAAGCCCAACTCGGAGGGAATAGCCCCTTGCAGTTGATTGTTCGTCAGCCAGGCCATGTATGCATGGGCAACCCAAATTAAACATTTATCCTCTAATAAATCAAGTTACCAACAATAACAAACACTACAGTCCAGCAGGGATTCATTCGAACAGTCCACTTCCACCCACCCAGCCATGGTGCCACAATCTCCAGCAACCACCACCGACCCATTGGTATCAGTGGCATACTCTGTCACAGAGCACTGTTGCCGTGTGCAGTACCAGGGGCACAAACTTTGGGGCAGAGTGCCACTAAAGTTGTTGCCCGACAACATGATTCGGCTGACAGAGGCATTCAGATTCCCTAGCTCACTAGGAATGGATCCTGTGAGGCCATTGAATGACAAATCCAAGGTCTCCAGCTCTGTCAAGAGGCCAAGCTCTGAAGGCAACCAGCCATGTAGTTGATTGTTGTTGAGCATAAGCCTTTGCAATGATGTCAACAAGCCAAGCTCAGATGGCAATGGGCCGCTGAGCAGATTGTTGCTCAGAACTAGTGCATGTAAGGATAAATCTTGTGAATCCCAGGCACTCTGTTCATAGTCATACCACTGGACAGTTGTCAATATTTTTCCAAATTGTGTTGGGATTGGACCAGAAATCTGGTTGAATGACAAGTCTAAAACACTCAAACTGGACAGCACGCCAAGCTCCGATGGCAAGTGACCACTCAGTTGATTGTTACTGAGATCAAGTGCTTGGAGGGATTCCACGTGCTCAACTTCTTCATTCAGTGTAAAATTGTATTCTGGAACTGTGGTCAAGATCTGCCCAAATTCCGTTGGGATTCGACCAGAGATTTGGTTGAATGAAAAATCCACCAACTGCAAACTTGTCAGCCTGCCCAACTCTGTCATCACAAGTCCTGTCATAGAATTGTTTGAGAAATCAAGAGTTGCCAATGCTGTCAAGAGGAAAAGCTCTGATGGCAACCGCCCACTTAGTTGATTGTTTCTCAAAATAATTGTTTGAAACAATCGTGCATCCTGTGGAACATTTCCACCAAGTGTGTTGTTCCATACATACACAGTTGCCTCATTCTCCCCCAACTCTGAAGGTATGCTCCCAATCAAGGCATTGTTTGACAGATCCAGCTTCACAAGCTTTTGAAGGAGGCCAAGTTCTGATGGAATTGTAGAATGCAGCAAGCTGTGAGAGAGCTGGATGGACGCCAAGTTAGTCAAGTGTGACCAATTCACATCAGGAAATGATGAGATCTGATTGTCTTGCATAGTCAAAGTCCGCAAGTTTGTCAGTCTTCCTAATTCTGAGGGTATCGAAGAAAGCTTGTTGCTTGACAATGACAGCCAACCATCAATGGATTCGTCGCAAGGCTCCAGATTTGTCATCTGGTCAATTTCATTTGGCAATTTCTCTATTCGGTTGCCGTGAAGCTGAAGCACAGAAAGGCTTGTCAAGAGGAACAGCTCACTTGGCAAAGTCAGTATGAGGTTGTTGCTTAGATCCAGCTGTCCAATCTGATTACCAAGGAGGCCAATCTCGCTTGGGATATCAGAGAGTTGATTGCCCTGCAAATCCATTTGATCTAAGCTAGACTGATCAAAGGTGGAAGGGAAAGTTCCTGTGATAAAGTTTCGCTCAAGGCTGAGATATACCAAGTTAGATAAGAGCCCAATTTCACTATAATAGGGACAGCAGAAGAAATAACAAGGTTTGATAAGAATCCTCCAACGGAAAGCAGTCTGCACATCCAAGTAAACAGAAACCTACCTGGGAATTGTTCCCTTGATTGTGTTGTCTCGAAGCAACAAGTACTGCATGCTTGTCAATAAGCCAATTTCTGGAGACAATCCTGTCAGATAGTTGTTTCTGGCATCTACCCAAACCAGACTGGTACAAATGCCCAGATCAGCGGGTACTGTGCCAGAAATGTCGTTAAACTGCAAATCCATGCGTTCAAGAAAGGGTAACAGGCCCAACTCAGATGGCAAGAAGCCGGAAATGGCATTGCCATGCAAGTAGAGCCAAGTCAGATTCGTCTGTCCAATGCCTGATGGGATGGTACCGGAGATCCCATTGCTGTGTAAGTTCAGGTTTGTCAGCAGGGAAAGCATGCCAATCTCCGAAGGGATGGTTCCAGTTATGCCAGCTTCACGCACATCAAATATTGTGAGGTGAGTGAGGAGAAAAACTTCCGGTGGTATGGACCCATGAACTCCAAACAAACTGAGCTTGAGATAATTGAAATGACCTTCCTCATCACAGTTGGTAGCAAAAGGATTTGGTCGACTGAAGGACGCTGACGATGCAGTCTCACACGCACGATTGGAATACCCTTCTGGAATGAAATCCGAGCTTTTGTCTCCATGTGGTGAATCCAGGTTTGTGGTCCACGAACATTCCGTATTGCTGTAGTCCATCCACTGGTAATCATCTGGCCAATTTTCGAACGAAAAGTAGAAGGTTCCCAATGCAAACAACTGCAGTTTCCGCCAATTTGGCATTTCGTCAAATTCTGGATGTTGAAATGTCCAGTCATAAGCTTGTTGTTGTGGAGAACCAGGCCTACCAATCGACTCAGCTGTACTTTCTGAAAGCCCCTTGATATCATACCTGGATGACAGTAGTGTCTTAGTTGGCATGGATGATGGGGAGACGGAGGGCATCACAGATGTTGTTGGTGCACTAGATACAGCTTCTTGTGCTATAGTTGCTGACTTGTTTCTCGTCCCTAGCACCACTGCCAGAACAACTGCCACAATGAGAATGACCCCCAAAAGCAGCCATTTTGATGCACTCAGCATGGCACGCTTACTCCTCTCAACTTTTTGCTCTTCAATGTTATTCTCAGCGATTGATTGTAATTCTTCCGCCAACTGTAGATTCTCCTGGCTTGGGTCGGCAACAAGATTGGCCACCATCAAACCAGCTTGCCTGTCCGACAGGTTGGTAGATTGGAATTCTGTGGATTCTTGACTTATCCCCCCTTCCAATGATGGTGAAGAAATTGGTGCGGTGCCCACAATGCCTATCTGAGAAAATCTTGCCTTCTGATTCCGTTGCGGGGGAAGCCCAGGAGCCCCCGAGTAGGCACCTGGTTGGCTTTCATGGGTGACTGGACTCTGATTTGTTATAGCCTGACCAACATGATTGCCGTATAGAGAAGTAGTAGTTCCTTCTTCCAGCTTTTCTTCTTGATTGGCGGCAGTTGCCCTCTTGCGTACAAATTTGAGGATGTCACTGCTATTTTGATTTTCTTCCGACACAGTTCCTGCAAGCCCTGGTGCAAGCGTTGAGTTTTGCTGGTCTCTGGCTGCCGCAATGGTAGAAATTGCAACTCTAGTTTCTTGATTATTTCCGGATGTGTCAGTGTGCTGCTGTTGTCTTTGGTGCACCTGAGCTCGTTCCCTTGCTTCCAAAATTTTGGATAATTCCACGCTGTTGCTGTCCTCTTCCAGACTATTGTTATGGTTGGCCGATTGTGTGGTGCCTATTCTATGATGTGGTCTGGGAGGATCTCGTCGACCTCCTCTTCTGAGTGTTGACACTGTGGGCCGAGGTGACGCTGCTTCTCCATTGCTTGTAGCCACTTGTTGGTTGGCTTGAGATGATGGGGTCAAAAACTCGCCTTTCACCCGTGCTTCTGCAATCTTGATAATGTCTAGCTCATCGAGAGCACCACCACCATCGTCATCAGCCACATTCCCGTTGGTGGCACTGGATGGGATTCTGGACCTTTGTGGTGATTTCGGTCGTGCCTTGGTTAGCGCCTTTGGTGAATTTCCGTCTGAGACATGGGAATGTTGCTTGGAAGGACTACTAGACGTCTCAACTTGCGAGGATAAGATCCGATTTTCATCCGTAATGGATCGCTCGTGTTCGATTCCTCCAGCTGCTGCTTCTAATGTTCGAACGCCATTGACATTTCCGGCACCAGCAGTAATATCACCAGTGTTGCATTCCTCTTCCTTTTGCCCATTGGGTTCGATCTCGCCGTAGGTTTTGTCTTTGCCGTGATTGCTGCTGCTCATCTTGCTTTGGTAATAGAGCTGCCTTATATCTTCCCTCTTGAGGTACGAAGGAATGTGTTAATGTGTTCACCGTAGATATTCTTTCAGTCGGTTCCGCTGTTATTCTCTTCGCCGGAGTGATCGCAACGCATGATCGATTCGATTCAACCAATTTGAACGTCTGCTGTTGCATACCATTATATTCGAGGATCCGAAAGATCGATATCCTTTTTGCTTGCATGGCGAACGTTCGAGCCCCAATTCAGCTTCCCGAGCAGAGGGAAGGCAATATATGTAGTACGTCGAAATAGCATAGAATCTGATCTACTGTATCGGTAGTTGCATGCATGCAAAAGATAAAATAAATACTAAATAGATACGTTAAGGAGCGAGGGGGGCGAGGCTAGGCAAAGCAGTGGCTGTGGTGGTGGGTGGCTGGTGTGGTGGGCATACGGGGAGAGCAATGAGGACGCGAGCAGGGCAAAACAAGGGGGGCAGGAAAGGGGGGTGCATGGAGGAAAATCAGGAAGGACAAGGGAGCAAAATTAGTGGAAGAGTGCATGCATGCGTGCAACTGCAGATGGCCCTGACTTCTGACTTCAACCTGGCCATAGTTTTTACTTGGTATCGCGTCTGTTGTCCGAACCAACCGGGACCTAACCCCTTGTCTTGGTGCTTCGATTTGATTCCAGTTTAGTCGCTCGAGTGACAGGTAAACTTTAATTAAGCTACGAAGTGCATGGTACTGCTTCAATCAAGGAGGTCACAATAGCTTTGGACCCACACTCGCTCTTATCCTCGTGACCGTGGAAAATCATGGTGTGGCATTGGTAGGGTGGTGACCCAAAGCGTGGATACTCCTCCTCTCTAACAACAACTCCATTCGAGGTTGGTTAAAATCAAGAATAGAATACGGAGGATCGCAAGAGCTACTCTCTCCGTGGGGTCTTGATGGATACGATCATCCATTCGAAGATTTGATTCAACGCCAACGTGAATACTCACTCCTCTTCACTTGGCGAAACGAGTTCTCGAAACAGCGATCTTGGAACGCCTCAATCCCGAGAACCACTAATGTATCACAGCTGTGTTACACCGTGGAGGGAGAGGCGAATTGATGGATGGGTTTCTATGCGTGGATACGATGCCAGCGTGCAATCATGAGGGAGTCAAGCTAAGACCACAGTAACTCCCGTCGATTTTGCTTCTTCCCAAATTTTCCTGCCTCAGCACAATCGGAGGAAAGCAAACGTCAAGTTAAGACCACTGCAGCTCCCATTGATTTCGGTTCTTTCCACTCACAATCGTCTGACATGGACAGAAGAAAAAGACTCCCGTCTGAATTGGATATGAACTAGTAAGCAACCAACCAACCAACCAACCAACAAACCAACAAGCAAAACAAAACTTCAGCAACGGCTGTTAGTTAGTTCACCATGAGCGAAACGAACAAGGATGTACCCACGGAAGTGGCGATCGACAAGAAGCCCCAAGTAGCTTCCGAAGCAAATTCCGTCGTTTCCGTTTCCTCCTCTGCTTCGTCGAGTAGCGTGGCCAAGGAGGATGCACCTACCGCTGATGTGACTGCTTCGACGAAGGATGCAACCATGACGGATGCTGCTACTGCTTCTAATGGCGATACGTCCGACAAGGATATGACACAAAAAGTAGATGACTCTAGCACTGCTGCCGAGGAAAAGAAGGACGACGACGAAGCGGAAATCCTGCTCGGAAAGAAGTTCCTCGCCTTGTTTCAATACGTCGTTCAGGCAGAGGAATTCCAAAAGAGCCCCAAGAGTTTCTTTTGCAAGGACTTTGACCAGAGCTCGAGTGATTGGACAGCAAACCATTTCTTGATGAACGACGATAAGGGAGATGATTGTGACGTTATTCTCACTTCCTACGAGTGGGACCCTGTGACCGAGAAGCTTGGATGGCGTGACAAGGTTGCCAAGTCTGCTGCGGCCTCCGGTGATCTTGATGATGATGCTGCCGGTTGGATCAAGATGCCTTGTCCCCAGACATCGTCGGGTGAAAAGCCGAAAGTCACGGAAGATTCCGATGACGACTTGCGAGGGTACCTTGTACACATCAGGGATCGTAACTCGGCACGCTTCCCAGGCTGCAACGAAGACTTGAACAACATGGTCCCCCTGTTGAGATCCGACGATATCCCTCCACCAGCAGAAGGCTATGAGGAGATTCGTGCGTTTATCAAATATGCTGTGGAACATACCAACTCGTCGAGCTCGGCGTGTATGATGCCGATCTACGAGAAGCTCCATCGGTGGGAGAACAAGTCCACATCTTTGGAGATGGTAGTGGGAATTGGGCATGTACGAATGGTATATACCAGCAAGAAGGAACATCAGCCACAAATCGTGAATGGATATCTTTTCGAAGTCCCAATGCAGACAAGTCTACAGCGAGGTGACAACGGGTCTATGGAAATTTGGGTTCGTCCGACAAAAGATGCCAGCATATCACTCAACGCGGAAGTGATGTCCGCTATCATTTGTGGAGGAGGCGGAAACTCGCATTACATGGAGATGCTTGATCGCTTGGTCGCGAAGACTAACGTAGCATCGATTCGCCTGGACAATGCTGACAGCTACAAGGAGTTTCTTCAGTCAGCACAGGCTTTGAGTTGCCGTGGAGAAGTGCGGTCTGTCAACCACCCTGACGTGCATGTTCCCCGCGATCTTCAAGCTATGGTAATTACGGACGCATGGTGTCTGCTCACCAGGAAGAAACGAAGCACTGTCTTTTCCAAGGATGCTCGCAACTTGATGGAGGCATTCGAGCAGAAACAGCTCGCAATTTCGGAACCAATGCGTGCCTTATTGAGCGGCCCCGTGTCTTTGGCAAAGTACTTTACTGAAGATACCCTGAGTGAAGAGGACAGAAAGATTCGAGAGGACCGGCTTGTCTATACGTTGCCAGTTTCAGAATCACAACGGATGGCTGTCGTGAGGCTCCTTGTTAATGGGGAGCCTGTCTTCATTTTGGAAGGACCCCCTGGTATGTTGCTGCGCGAGTTCAAATGTTCTACCCTTGTCTTAAAACTACTAACAACATCCTTTTCGCGCCTTCTAAAGGAACTGGGAAGACTCACTCAATTGTCAACGTCGCAGCTACAGCTTTGTCGGAGGGCAAGACGGTAATCGTGGTGTCTTCGAACTCACGAGCTCTCAGGGCTTTTCTGGAAAAGCTTCCTCCAAAGTTGCGTGCCCTCGCCTTGGACATGTCTTGCTGCAAAGAAGAGGGAATGCTGGAATTCCAGCAAGCTTTGGAGACGCTCTATAAGAATTTTCAGAACCCCAAGACTGTTCAGAACAAAGCAAAGGTACGCCACAGTTACTATCTCGGAGACTATCTGGCATAGCACTCTCCTGAATATTGTCTCATCCCTCGCTCTCCCTTCTTCCAATGACTCATAGCTAGAGAAGCATATCGCCAAGAAGAAACATGATCTCGGGGCAATGCTGCAGCAAGTGCAGGCAGATAGCCAGGCAAAGCGGCTGCTCGTTGAGGACGTCAATTTGAATAGCGCCTTGGAGCACGTCTTGGATTTCTCCACAAAGGCCCCATGGCTCCTGAAATTTGCCTTCGCTGGAGACTCAGTGGCCACGGACGTCCTCGATAGCCTTCGCGACACAGAGGCTGTTTCATTTCGAGGCATCGAGGGTGTCTCAGACGACGATGAGTTCTACACACTGGTTGAAAAGAAGTCCGCAGAGGTACTCAGCACTGTCAATGCTTCTTCTACGTTCAAGCTTAAGTCTATGTTGACTGAGAGCGAGAAGAAGCTATCATTGATCAAAGTTGGCGGACGGACCCCGTCATCCCCAGCCGACTGGCAATGCGCCTTTGCCGCTCTCAAGTTTCGAAAGGCATGCGCTGAGTACAGCAAAGAGGACAGCTTCGTCGAGGAGGATATCTTCTGCAATGAGGGGACTACGTTCTTCCAGGCCGAGTTCAGTGCTCTTCTCAAACACGTGCGGGAGTTGAAAGATGCGGTTGATTCTTTAGCCAGCAACGAGCTTAAGCAGATCCTCCTGGCAGCCGCCAAAGAATCTCCTGGTGGAAGGATGCTGCAAGATCAATGCCGAGAACTGACCAAGGAGATCCATGCGCTAGAGAGCGAGTTGCTCTATGCGAAGGTTGTCGCTTCATTGAAGGCAAAGTTGGACGATAACGCTATGAGCATGCTGAAACAATTGTGCCTAAGAGCCCGGAAGCTGACGGCCGGCGCCTCAACCAGCACGTCCGAAAGGTCAAGCCGGCATTTCGAAGCCTTCACTGCGATGTTCAAGGAAGCTGCCAATTTTATGCCGTTCCTTGTAATGACCACCGATCAAGTCAGTTCTTGTTTACCACCAAATCATTCTTGTGACATTGGCATTATGGATGAAGCATCGCAGTCCAACTGTACTGCACTCACCTTCATGGCTCGGTGTAAACAGGTGCTTGTTGTCGGCGACGACAAACAAGTCAGCCCAAGCCAAGTGGGTCTAGGCGAGGAGCGAATCCGTGCTCTGACAGCATGCCTCCCTGACATTCCCACAAAGAATCAGCTCCTGCCCGAGTACAGTTTCTTTGATCTATTCCAGGCTGCATTTCCAAAGAGTTCGGCTGTCCTGTACGAGCACTACCGATGTCTTCCGGAAATTATTGCCATCAGCAACGATCTGTGGTACTTTTCAGACCTGATACCACTCCGCCTCGCCAGCAGATCTGGCGCAGTCCGCAACCTTCGAGTAAAGGGCACCCGATGCCCCAAGAAGAAAACCAATTGGGCGGAAGCCGAAATGATTTCGGATCTGATCATTGATAGAATTCGGAGCACTGCAAACAAGGACGAGTATCAGTCTATCGGGGCCATATCAATGGGAGGAGTGGAGCAGTGCAAACTCATCAAGGAACTGATAGCTGAAAAGGTGGATCCTGTCATTGATGACTTTGGTTCGGACGTTGTGGATCGCCACAATATATTGGTTGGCACTCCACAGGAATTCCAGGGTGCCGAGCGAGACGTCATTTACTTGAGCGGTGTCCACAGCAGCCCAACCAAGGCTGGACAGAAGCTCGTTGCTGAAAAGGGCGACAGCTGGAAGTCGTGGAACGTTGCGTTGACTCGTGCTAGAGATGAACTGATCTTCTGCAACAGCTATGGCATTAAGGATGTGAAGACCTCTGATAACCGTCAAAAGATCCTCCGCAAAATCTCACAGCCTGGAAAAGCAAAGGAGGAATCCAAGCTGCTGATGTTGGACTCTGCTCCGTTGGCAGAAAAGGTATCTGCTGCACTAGCGTCTGCTTTGAAACAAGAAGGCTACCTTGTTGAAAAGAAAGGCGGGAAAATTTGGAGTGATTCGCTTTGTATTGGTTCTCCGATTGATGGTGTATCCAATTGCGCACTCCTATGCATCGAGAACGGTGGCGAATCTAAGGATGAATGGCAGACAGCCGTGGATCAACAGCACTCATTGGAGGGGGCCGGACGAGCCTGCCTTCGTGTGGACTGCCTTGGCTTTGTGCTGAACCACGCTGCAGCTTTGCAGGATATTCTTACCTTCTTGAACAAGAGTGGCTTGCCAAAGCCAGGTAAACACAGCTTTGAAGATATCGCAGCTACCGGCACGGCGAAAAAGCGAAAGGTCGAGTCAGGTGCTTAGTGATCGAGGTGCTTCTTTGCTCTGTTTGACACCAAGACAACTATCGTATAAGCAGCAACGAAAATGCAGACTTGCAGCACTAGACTTGCAGCACTTTCTTGTAACTTGCAACTAAATGGCACTGTTCCTTCATGGAGATCCATGATGTCGGGAGCGAAGATAGGATGCTATAGATGTCAATTTGCACAATTCAATCTAACTGAAATCCTATATGCATTCTCCTCCTTGTTCTTTCGGAATCGTTATAGTACCAACGTTCCTCACACCCTACACATTCTGATTGGGGACACTGATGGATCCATATTCACCCACAGTAGTTTTCAAATGCTCCTGAATGATATCACACGTAGCTTGTCGATTGGCCGTATCATGAGTGTGATAAACCAAGGCTTGTACGGCCATCTTGAGCATGGCATGTTGTTTGGGATCGACCAAATCTCCCGTGGATTCGTCAAATGCTTGAAAGGCTCCTCCAATGGCAACCGATTCCGGCAAGACGTGGACTCCCAAATTGGTAAATAATTGACGACTCGGGACCAGGGACCGCATTCCACCCATGGCACCCGGACTGGCCGCCAAACAAATGGCCGCTTTGCGTTGAAATGTGGCGTACATTCCCGCGTCTGGAGGATCCCCGCGGGATGCCCACGTGACAGCATTCAAGAGCAGCGGTGGAACAAAGCCATTGTATTCCGGCGAAGCAATAATCCAACCATCGGCTTTGGCCAAATCGGCCTTGAGCGCCAGTGCCGATTCCGGCATGCCGTGCGTGGCTTCCAGATTGGGATCATACAAGGGCAACTGATACTGCTCCAAATCGAGAAATTTGGTGGTGGCGCCCATTCCACTATCGGCCAAGCGTTCTGCCGCCTTGGCCAATTTGGTATTGACACTGCCTTGACGGGCACTGCCAGAAAACACGGCCAACACGGGAGCACGGAATTTAGAAGCCATGGTTTGCTGTTGTAGTAGTCAGAAAGCAGACAATCTGGGCTTGCCTTTGTTATTGTGGCTTCGAGATCCTTCTGTATGGACGAACCAATTTGGATCTTCTTCGGAGAAGTGCTTTTCCACGCCTGTTGCGAAACTGGAACCAGTACGATGTACGTCCTGAAACCAGCTTCACCGAAAGAAGTTCTTCGAAGCTTTCAAAGATCTTGGGGAAGATGTGCGGTACTTTCAGTCATGGATACGGTGTCACCTCTTTCTGACGTCACTTCTGCTTTGGTCAGCGCTCTCTCACGACAACCAGCACATTTCACGGATCTGTTCGAACTGTCGTCGGAGTTGACAGCTAGGTTGTCATCGGAGTCGTGAAAATTTTCTCCATTGCGGTGTTCTGACCTTCCAGTTGAACATTCCAAGCAAGCAACTGGACAACCCAACAACCAAACACACAAATCAAACAAACAAACAATCAATCCTTCAAGATGACACTGGAAGAAGAACCGCAGTTCACTACTATTCAAAGAAGACGCTCCCTCAAGGGCGATTCGATTCGGTCTCTCAGAGAACACCTGGAAGCATCCTTATCATCGAGATCCCTGCAAACTCTTGACGACAAAAACGCGGAAACCAACAAGAAGGAACGAACCGAAATTACAAAAAATGCATCGATCGAGGAGCCACGAGTAGAGGAACAACGAGACGAAAATGAAAAGTTTGCGGATCGACATGCCGACCAAGTCCGATCGCGACTCTTGCATCAATTGGGCATCCAAAAACAACTTGCCATTCAGAACGCCACCCAAAACGCCAACGCCAGCGCCAGTAACAGCGAAGCTTGGGGACCCACCACCGAATTGCCACTCAATGACGCCAAGACATCCTGGGCCAAACAACCCAACCATCGCCAACTCCAGTTCCACCCCACAGTCACAGTCCACCCCATTCCCAGTTACAAAGTGTACAGCAAACGCATTCAACGCACTATTTGGACGAATGCGCAAGAACTGCAAGAACAAGTCACACGCAATGCCCTCGAATTCAATTACGAACAATGGGACGCCAATAAGGTGTTGGACGAAGACAATGGATTACTCTTTCACGACGGGGAATGGATTCATCCGGTTCACGTCGAATTTACCGTACCAGAAGGACAGCCCGAATTGTCGTCGGAAGAAGAACTCTGGATATTGACGTGTCATCGACTCGGTATTCAGCCCGCCGCATTTTATCATTCTCTTTCGACAGGACCGCCGCCGCTATCGAAACAGCCGCATGTGTGATTACTTTTATTTTTATTGTTGCATTGGGCGCTCGCGGCAGGTTGTCTCTGGCTGCTTCGAAGTTGCAACATTTATGTCTGATTTTAGAAACATTGCCTTTGGCGTCTGGCAACAATGAATGAATGGCCCGAGATCGACAAGAAACGAGAATTGGATTCGATTCTTTCACTCGAACCAGGTCCACAACCACCGAAAAAGGCGTTACTGGAGAGGTTTGCCAAGCAAAACACGCGGCAAAACTCTCCAATAAATACATCCTAAATAAATAAATAGGATGAGTGATCTGCAACAAAGTATGGTGACGCGAGCTATCTGATCACGTGTCCAAACCAATGGGGAGGACAACCGAGACTTGTACCAATGAAGGGGGAATTTTTTTTTTGCTGAGCTTGAAAATCTCGCCATAGAGGTGCAGCAATGTTATACATACATGAAGATATAAAGTCGTTGCCTTCAACAGTTTGACAGACTCCAGAGCGGGCTCTGAGACGCACTCTCGAATGCCACAGTTGGCAAACCACCAAAAGCGGAGTTGGGCCCTTGTGCACGGAGGAGTGGGAGACTCAAGGCTACCGGCCGTACCGGTAGTCAATAGTTGCATCCAAGCATGGGGTGCTTCTGAGGTTCTCGTGTTCCAATGACTCGACTCGAATGAGCTCAACAGCACTGGGATGATCGATCGTGGCACCCTGGGCGTTTACTGCTAATCGGTCCCTGCCTTCTCCCTCCCCTGGCTCTGTTTACTCTTTGTCCTCGACTGCCTGCTGTCTCCTTCTGTTGGCCTGCTCATTGGTTTTCATTCCATGTGCGCTCAACATTTGCTCACAACTGACGACACCATTCGCCCATACATGTAGTCCCTTCTAACACACCACAGCCATTCTGGTACGGCTGGGAACGCCTTGTCGGTGCTTTTGAAGTGCGGAACACTGTTCCGACCGCTCATGCATGCTGGCTTCTAAAGCTGCGAAGATCTTTCAGTCATGGATACTGCTCATTCATATGCCTCCTGGCTCGTCTCCGTTTCCATAAATCTTTTATTACCAACACCTAACTCTCTTTATTGAAACAGTATTCGCGCGCTCCGCGCGCTCATCCCTTTCTCTGCTTCGCCCCGAAACGGATCCCTCATTCATGCGAAAAATGTGAAGAACGCAAGGCGACTTTCATGTGCATGGGATCCCTCATTCATGCGAAAAATGTGAAGAACGCAAGGCGACTTTCATGTGCATGTACATGCGTTGACTGTATCCCGTCAATACAATACTAGTCAAATACGTAGACTTCTACAGAGGCCTCTAAGTAATGCACGCGGGGTATAATTCAAACCTCCACTCCCCATCGGTACCCTTACCCCTAAAAGCAAATCGTCTCCGCGACGGGAGACGAAATTGGTTTGGAAACTTGGCTTACCTTTCTGCCATCCGACCATAAACCAATGACAAAGAGCTACCGGTAGCCCAACATACCTTCCGCATCTAAAATCATAGTAGTCTACGCCATTTATTCTCTAGCACACTGAAGTATTCAAATACAGCCATACCGGTAGCCATGTCTTCTTCATTGCTCAACAACAACGATAACCAGAGTTTTCAGATCCCATCCAACCTCCAGGCGGGATGCATGCGAGCCTATGAATGGAGTCAAGAATTGACGGCAAGGGTCATCAAAGGGTATCTCCAGTTCATGAAACTAAAGTTGCAGCTAGAGGATTGGGATGCCACCCAACTGTCACCAACACCAGGTGTCGACAAGGTGTGGCACCAACACCTCCTGCACCCTGTCCATTATGCCAAAGCTTGCCAAGACTACACATCAGGTCACATTATAGATCACAATCCAGATGGGGGGCTGAATGTTGCTGCCTGGATGAAACGGCTCCGCAACACGGAGATGTGCTTGAAGACACTTTTGGGTCGCAACAAAATGGATCAGATGATTTGGTCATTTCTTTATATCCATGACAAGGAAGACGATGATGAAAGTGAAGAAGAAGAGACTGACCGCAAGAAACCTCGGCTGTCTCGTTCAGAAGACGATGGCATGGTTTCCTTCGAGATTCGGCATGCTACAAGGGCTGGTCCCACCAAGACATTCCGAGTCAACTGTAACACACCCTTTGCGTCCTCCTTTTCGGACTTTCCTTCCAACAAACGCAATAACCTGAACTATTTCTTTGGAAACAAGCTTGTCAACGGTGGTGACACTCCCAACGGCATTGGAATGGAATCAGTATGCCAAAGGACGGGTGAACGCAAGCACCACACCATGAAAGCTGTACCTCCGCTTACGTCGTCCACTCGCAATCAAACACTGCCCGTGACAATCATCGTTATGGACCAGACGGGCGAGAAAACATTTCTCAAACTCAAACGAAACACAGAGATGCACACTGTGTTTCAAACCTATGGCACGCGAAAAGGAGTAGAAGATTTGAACAATCTTGTATTCCTCCTGGATTCCGAACGAATTGATCCTTGGCAGACATGCACAACGCTGGAGTTGGACGATCAGGATGAGATTTTTTGCCTCCTTCAAATGGCGGGATGTTAGGCTGATCGTTTTCTTGGCACAGCATGCCTTTGAATTTTCTCACTCAAATCGTCAGGAGCTTAGTACTAGCTAGCTAGGCAACCACTTGCACAAAGGTTTGTTTGATCATAGTCATCAGCATACGCGTCGACTTGAGGTTGAATCTTTCGTGCATTCATCAATTTATCATCGTTTTTTAAAGCTTTTGGACAAGAAACCTCTGCTCTAGTATAACCAACTTATCATGGATGACTCAACTTCCAAAATGCTAGAGATAGACAATCAAGATCAACCTGATTGCATGCGTGCTTGAGCTGAGCTGCTGAGCTGTAAGTTCCCGTCTAACAGCGATATTTAAACTTTGTGGTGGTGCATTTTGTCTAATGCAAGTTAGCAGATCACACCTTCCATTTGCTCTTGACAAGCGTAAAGACTTGAGTCACTTCTTGGAGCTCGGTGGAGTGGCTGTGGCCTTTGACATTCCGGGCGATCTCGAAAATCCTCGTGCCAAGCCAGTTTCTTGTACAGGCCAGATTTCCGCAGCGGAAGCTTACGTTGGGAGAGAAACTACACTACACAATCTGGCCGCAGAACGTTTCACCAATTACTGTACTACTTTTACAACACCCAGATATTGATTGCATTACATATTATTCAATCGTCCCATTCGAAACTTGGCTCCGGGTGCTTGTGGTTTGAGCGTTTCGGAAGGATCCTCTTCATCTCGTCGTTTCCGCTTGTGCCGTGTGGCATTGGGTGCAATAATGGCATGATTGGCCACCAACGCAGCCGACCCGGTGGGAGCTCGACTTTGAAACAATTCGGCGAGTTTTTCATTTTGTGGCCGTCCCCCCTTGCCATGTGCCAAGAGGGCACCTCCTCGTTCCGAGAGAACGGTGTCATAGAGCACTTCCACCTGACCATCGCTGGTACCCAAATAAAGTTGATTGGTCTTGGCGGGCCACAAAATGTCCGTCACAGCCGCCGTGTTGGAAACGGGTAGTTCCAAAACAGCATCGAGTGCCGTGTTATTATTAGTATTGTCGGCTTGCTGCTTAGAGGAGGGTAGCTGAAAGAACTTGATGCTGCCAATTTCAGATTCCTTCTTGTCTCCTTCTCCTTTTCGTTGAAAGGATACTCCGACACAGAGAATTTTGTTGTTGGGACTAAACGAAGGACGACAGTGTCCCGCAAACAACGTCGGTGCATCTTGACAAATGGCCACTGGACATGACGACTTGCTGAGTTTGTTGGCGTTCCATACTAGACAGCGCGAGTCTTGGACACTCCGACTGGCCAGCAATTGTCCATTCGGGCTGTAGACGAGGGCATCCACACTTTTGTGTGCCCCATACACGGCTTTGGCCGGTCGACTGCTGCCTGCCTTGCAACTCCAAATTTGAATAGACCCACACGACGTGCCCACGGCGAATTCTCGTCCATGTGGGGAAATGGTCAAACATGCCACGGTGGTTCGTTGTCCCTTGCTGGATTTGGGTTGAAAAACCGTGTCGGACATGAGCATTTTGAATTGTGTCTTGCCATTGAGATTCCACAATCGAATACTGCCATCGATCGAACTGGTCAAGACAGTGTCGCGATCAAACGGATGCCATTGCACCCCCGTGACTTCGGCCGTATGTCCCACGGTGGTGTCTTTTTGAATCACGTAGGGGTCGCCTCGAACAAATTTGATACTGTATACAAAGCAAAGCAAACAAAGCAAATTGGGAGAAAGAAAACATGGTGAGGATTGAGACAAAAAAGAGGCATACATTCTCTGCTCAAGTAAGTGCTCTTCTAATACTTACATTTCCCCACCATCCCGATCGAGTACATATGGTTGTGACCCCGTGGTAGATGCCAAGATTCGATCACCCGTATTGCTAAAGCAAAGATCCGAAATGCCCTGTCCCTCCTCGACGGCAATCATTTTGAAGGGTTCCAGTTTATGGGATCGCATTCCGGCAAAGTCATACATTCGCAATATACCATCGGTAGTTCCCACGACGAGTCGGTTACCAGCATGATCCACCGCCAAGCAGGTCACGCGATGACGACGTTCCGATTGTGCCACCAGTGTCATGCGTTCTCGAATGGGCAGCTCGTAGTCTTGCAGAATTTGTTCAATTCGTGTTTGGCCTTCTGTAGTAACATTATTAGTAGTAGTGTTGTCGTTGGTTGCAGTAGTTGTTTCTTCTTTTTCTTTCTCGTCTTCATCTTTCTTGACTTGTTTGACCACCGTAAAGACTCGTTCTCTGGCATGTCCAAAGACAATTTGATCGCCTTCGTTCAACACCAGTCGTTGTTTCTTTTCCATGAGAGTCCCATTGACCGACGTTCCCTTTTTCGATCCCAAGTCTTGCAGGATACAACAATCATCATCGCCACTACTAGCAGCAGCAGAATAGTAGAGAGCCGCATGTTTGCGACTAATGCTGCCATGATCCACTCGAATATCCACGGTCTTGGCTTGGCGACCCACCAGCAAACAGTTGCGTCCGGTCGAAGAAGAAGCTGTTTGGGGCGATATGGGAATGGAAGCACCTCCCGTCTTGAGACCCCACACAAACCCATTGCTTGATTTCAGAGTGGCATCCGCTGGAAGACCCACATTGTCGTCCGGTTGTTGGTCCGACATCTTGAACAGACTGTTACAAACTACATGTATTGGGAGTAGTGGCCGTGGGTGTGGTCGTTGGACATGAGGGCTCTGTGGGCCCCGACTACAGTTGGTGCCTGCAGAGCTGCATTGACACATCCAAATGCCATATCCAAAATGCTTTTTTTTATACTACGGATTCGGGAAGAACTGTCCTTTTCCATGCTTGGAAGCTGATTTCCCACCCTCTCAAGCCGATTTCCGAGGTCCCGGAAGTAAATTTCCCTTGAGCTTTACATGTACTTAAAGGACATTGGGCAGAGTTTGTTGCGCACACCTTGAGCCGTTTCAATTATCGACTTCAGATTATGGCTCACGTAGAAAACTACACAAGCTATGTACTGGGAAGGAAAATCTCCTTCCGAGGGTGGAAAATCGGGGTGTCCGATGGCGCTAGCTAGCTATCTCGAGGAGTTCAGGCTCTAGAGAGTGAAAGTGTTCCTGTTATTACATGTATGATGTGTTACTATTTTTGTACTGTATGAACAGCCACTGCATGCAAGACACAGATGTGAGATTGCCCTGTCCGCATGTCAGCCCTTCCATTGAATGGGCCCGTACCACAAATAATAAAAAGGGCGACAATGGAACTTTGTGCGTCCATTATACATACATCAAACCAGCCTGTTGTAGGTGGATACCCACGAGGCAAACGGGCCCATTCAGGGCGACGGCAGGAGGTCGTGTTGGCGGATATCACAGAAGGAGCTCCGTGGAAACAACACCAGGGATTTTCGTGGGACGAGTTGTGGCATTCATTGCTTCTTAAACGTGGCATGAACCAGGTGGAGATCGGTCTGCAATGGGTTCTTCCCGTTCTTCTCTCTCTTCTTGTTCCATGGCAGCCACTGCTCGCGCCAAAAAACTTCCCACCTTGGCTCCCACTCCCATGGCGGACTCACCACCTTCCACTTCTTTTTGACAGGCGGTAAAGATTCTAGTCACTTCTTTGAGTTCATTGTTATTATTGGAGTGTTGCTGCTTATTGTCGTCATTGGCATGATATTCGGGGCTATCATCGTGGAAATCATCTTCTTCTTGTTGAGCCATGGTGTTTTGGAGAACCATCATTTCTCGTCTGATGCAACGGCTCAGTTCCCTACGATCATACTGGCGTTCTTGGTGGCCGGCATGGGCGAGTGCATCATCCAGTAGTGTGGTATTGGTGTTGGCAGAGACAGTTTGGCAGCAAAGGACTGCCACAACAAGCAAAAGTACCGAGGATGTAAAGTTCATGGTAGGTAACTGCCAAAAGTAAAATAGAGGTGATGATGTGATGGAACAGCTACCGGTAGCTACTAGAGCTAGTAATTCTGTTGGAAGAGTGATGTTTAGACTCTAGTTACCTGGTACATTTTTAAAAAAAGGACGAGTGGTAGACCTACAAGGCTCACGGGAGCTGTGCATTATTGAGAGTTTTACAAAATTTAATGATCGTCCTAAGAGACACCCACCGTACAATGACGAGTCTCAGTTAAAAAGGTTTGGCGATGAAAGCATGTGAGAATACAGTGAGAATGCTAGGGTGGTCCAACGCGCATCTATCTAAATAAAATTATTGGAGGTTTCGTTGGTGGTCTGTCTAAGGAAACCAGCGATGTGTGATTTACGATTTACGTAAGCTTAGTTAGATGGGACCAGTGGGACTGATTCGATGCGATCATAAGTTCATAGTCCAACCTTGCTTTCCAAAACGACAAACGTACTGTATTAATAACCGCTGATTGAGGTCCGGGACCGGTGGGATTACTGGTGGCGAGCGGCGAACCCCAAGCCCCAAGAATAGCCATTATGCGACTGAGTCACTCAAGAAGCTCCAGTCCCTTTGGTTTGTCCGCAGAGCTGCATTGACACACACTTTCCTATAAAGTAAGTCCCAAATCTACAGTTTCGTGTGAAGTCCCAAACGAAGCCGGCACCATGAGATCAGGGTTTGGCGGATGGGTCCTATTACGTGTATACTGACTGATGTTGAATAGAGGCAGTTTGAAAGGACAACTGAAGGTGGGCCTACATTAGAGACTGCTCGCACAGGAAGTCCATGATGCTTCGAAGGCTTTGCCGGATCATGCCCCAAGCAACGTTGTGACCAAATGGCTTTTGAGCAATTCTTTCAGATAGGCGCGGCTACACAAGATTTATTTTTGCCACGAAATGCTGGTTCGAGGATCAATGACGAAAAGAAGTAAAAATTAGGAGCACTGAGATTGCCCGCATGTCCACCGTACCGGTATCGTACGAGAGGCCATCCAGTACAAGGGCAAATATCTTGCAAAAGTCAGTTGTACCGGGTACGCAAAGATCCTGACCATTCTCACGTAAAACCTGAAAAGCTGCAAGTAGTAGGTAGTGCCAATTCCAAATCCAACCCCACCTCCAATAGTGACCTCAAAAACGTCAAACCCGGTGCCTCCTCCAAAGGCAGTCCCCACATGAGGTCCCAATCCTAGTTCTAGCTCGAACATGCAGAAATTGGCTTGCACGTTGCCACTCACGTACATAAGAATCAAACTGACTTCGGCCCCCGGCCCAAACTGATATCCGATGCAATCGCGGGTCCCGCCTCCGATAAAGAAGGATATTTGTGCGTCAATTATCAAACCAGCCTGTAAGTGGAGACCCACGAGACATACGGGCCCCTTCAGAGTGACAGGTGCTGATGTCGGCATTTTGGGGGATGCTTCGGCGGAGACAACAGAAGGGGCCTTAGTGGGAGTTCTTGTTGTGGCATTGAAGTGGGGTGGACCAGATGGAGATCGGTCCAAAATAATGGGCTCTTCCATGACTCCTGCCAAGAAGGTTCCCACCATGGCTCCGGTTCCCACGGCCGAAACGCTACCTTCCACTTCTTCTTTACAGGCCGTGAAGACTTGAGTCAACTCTTGGAGTTCAGTGGAGTGCCTGTCGACCGCATCCATAATGGCCTGATATTCTGGGCTCTCTCGAAAATCCTCATCCCGAGCCAGTTCCTGGATCTGTCCATCGCCAAGGCCTGTTTCCGAGAGGACCCAATCCTTGTATCCCACGGCATCAACCATGTCATTGAGATCCATCATTTCTCGTCTGATGCAGTGGTGCAGGTCCTTGCGTTCAAGGTGACTTTCTTCCTGGCTCGTGGAGTCGATTGCGTCATTGGTGTTGGCCGAGACAGTCTGGCCGAGACAGTCTGGCCGAGAAGGACTGCCACAACAAGCAAAAATACCAAGGATGCAAAGTTCATGGTGGCTGCCACAAAAAAAGGAGTGGTGTTACTGCAGCAGGAGCTATTGTTTGAAGAGATACCAGTATGCTGCTTGTTGGAAGATCTCCACCCATCAGTAGAGGTCTTGAGACTAGCTGGTTGTGGCTGCGTTGAGCATTGGGAATGGTACAGATGACGAAAAATGAGACACCTCGAACCCGTTGAAAGCCGGTGTGACATGGAGCTTAGACTTCCATTGTTGGCTTGGCCGCGGGTACCCGGCTTGGTTGGTATTTACTGTTATTACTTACTGTGTGGAGAGGCCAAAAAGTAGCAGTAATTGCAGTAATGGAGTAATTACTCAGTAACAGTAAAATAGGTCAGTAATCCTAGCTAGTGCAAATGGCAGTAAAAGTAAAGTAATTACTGTCTAGACAGGAATTACTGCAGTAATTTCAGGAACTGGCCTGAACAAGGGCCATGGAGGCCACCACAAACAAGTATTAGGGCAACATGAGTTGCTATCCAGCTGCTCCAGAGGAGGCAATGAAGCTTCCTAGGCCCTCTTGGTCCGCTTGGAGGGTGGATTCTGCTTCTCAGCAGTGGTTTTGGGGACGAAGCCACCAGGGATCCACATGTTCCAATCTAGATTGTCATCCAGACAATCACGGCTGCCCAGGACAACCTTGATCGTTGGATCAGGGAACTTCTTGTAGTAGTGATACACGAGGCCATGAAAATGGCTGTCAATCTCAAACCACTCCTCGGCATCACGGTCACTCCTCTCGAGGCTCGTATCCCACGCCTTGATATTCCAGCGACTGTTGCCGCTCTGACGAAGCCAAGCCATTTCATCGTTGTCTGTGAAATATTTCTTACCAGACCAGACGTCGCCGAAACAAAGGCTTCCGTACTTGGCCATGAACTTGGTTTGCGCAGCCATGGTGCTCTGATTCATGAGGTCACTTTCCCAATCCTCCGTGAAGGCACGGTACACACGGGCATTGATCTTTTCCGGCCCTCTAATCTCGTGTCCAAACGTCGTCAAACCAACCAGATCCAAGTCCTTTTCCTGAATAAAACGGTATTCCATTCCTTTCTTGACCGAACGACGGGTTTTGGCTCTTTCGGCGCAGGCCGCACCAAACAACGTGCCCAGCATCTCTATCATCTCCGCGCTCAGGTGAGAGCGCTTCCCGGACTTGATGTGTTTGACGGCACCCCACTCACGCTCAGCATTTCCGATACCCATAAGGACTGCCGTGCAGATGCAGGCGAACTTGCCAAAGTACTTTGTGTTGGTGAGACTGTTCTTGCTGTGCCACATGGGAGTGTCGTTCTCGAAGACATCAGTCGACCGCCAGACATGGTTGCGTACACCGAAAGGGCCAGTTTTGTCCTGGAAATGCTGCCACTCTTTCCAGAATGCATCGTAAACTGTCGCTTCCCATTCTTCTTCCTCCGCAGCCGTCATATCTAAGGGCGCCAAAAGCCTCTTGACTAGCTTCTCAATGACACCTTTGTAGTAGGCGTTGATAGTCTGAGCGACGTGCTTCTGGATATCAGGATGGGGAGAACAAGCCCAAGCAGAAACGGAAATCTCGTGACCAAGCTTTTTGCTCCTCTCCTTGTAGAAAGCCTTGACTTGGTTGCCAAATTCTGCGGAGCCATCTGAATCATCGTCGGAGTCCTCTTCCAGTTGCTGGGGTTCGTCATCGTCACCAGGTTTGTCGTCATCAGGTTTGTCGTCACCAGGTTTGTCGTCGTCATCAAGCTCGTATCCATTGAAGTCTTCATCCTCTAGGTCGGCAAAGTCAATCGCAAGATTCGTAAAGCATTTGGTTTCGATTTCCCAATCTATGTCAATGATTTCGCTCGTTGAGAAAGACGCTTGGACAAGATCGGGGACTGTAGACACCTCACCCGCCTTTGCGGGCAGGTTCAAACCGCAGTAGTCCTGAAGGTCTTCGAGTAGAGCGGGGCAATGGTTCTCCAAATAATTGAGTCCGTTTCCGTACTTCTCCAAATGGTTCTGTGTTTGGCAAGCGTAGAAGAAAAGCTTGTCCATCGCAAGAGCGTTAGTGTCACAGAGACGAAGCAGACGCAATGGACAGTACATTGCCTTATTGATACATTTGATGACAACAAAGAAGTCCTTGGTCTGCATGACATCAAGCATCTTCTGGGGAGGCTTGTCTCCTTTCTTGAGACGGTGGAAGTTGGGATCCGCAAAAAGGGACCGGAACACTTTCTGATGCCGGGATAGGCGAAGAAGGGCAATGAAGAATCCACCCATTCGGGTCTCCGCATAGCACACCAATCCTAATTTGTTTCCTTCGTGGTGTGTTTGCGAGTGCTTCATGAACATGGCATACATCTTGTGGTGACTTCCACTACCGAACCACTTGTAAATGCCACGGTAGAACTTGATGAGGAGTTTCCCAATGTCCGTCTTGGCCACGTCCGAAAAGAAGAGAGAGATCGCATGTTCCGCTCCATGGAGGCAGGTCATTCTCGGATACTTCCGGCACAAGATCCTTCCCGCCGATTGAACGTTGGAAGCGCCATCCATGACAACAGCATAGACGGTGCCATTGTTATCTGGATCCATCGCCTTGATATGCTTGTCCATCGCATCGGCAATGTACTGGCCATCCTTCTTTCCGCCCTTGGCCAAGTGCGCCGTACAATCCTTGATCTCCAACACGACGGAGTGGTTGTGGACGCCCGACCCAATAATATTCATGAGCGCCATCCTCTTGACAGTAGCACCATCGCCATAAATGGTATTCCCAAAGATATGACTGTCTTGGACGAGGGTATCCATTGCTTTGGTGTAGTGCTTGTCGTACAGAATTCTTAGGTTCTGGTTGGCACAAGTCCTGGCGGTCGGCGGCTTGTAGTTAGAAGGAACAACCCTAGCCAGCCGGAGCGCCAGATGGAGGTTTGGGTCGTCCAAGAGCTTCATAGGGTAGCCACCTTCCGCAATCAAACAGCACAACTGAGTATCCAACTTCAAGCTATTGCGCTGGTTCGGCGGATTAGTGGTCAAATAAGTTTGGATACCGCTACCTTTCCTGTGCTGAACAAGCTCGTTGGCAGAAATCTCCCTGCGCGCGGCTCTGGCCCGATGGCCGTTGCTATTGTCCAACATAGCATCCACGGTATCTTCCAGCTTGGTTTCCGCATTAGAGGCAATCAGGTTAGTCAACTTCTTCTTCGTCTGGCGCTTTTCCTTCAGTTCATCCCAAGCCATCTTATAGACTAGCTTCTGCTCGGCAGAATGGATTGAGGGGCAACACTTGATGTCGTGACCTGATCTCTTTGCCAAGTGGGCCTTGACCTTGGTGACGTTCCAGCCAGAGAACAACTGGTCGCAGTGCAGACACCTCCAAACACGCTTGGTACCACCATCACGCTTGTTCATCTCCTGCTTCTGGATGAAATCATCAGTCCAGATGTCGTAGCCGCCACGGGAAGAAGGATCCTGACTAGACGACCTGCTTCCTGAGCTGCCGCTGGTGGTGGTAGTCGCATCGCTGTTCCTGTTGAGAGCGGTGGGTAAAGAGCGACCACGATTGAAGGAAGCTCGCTTTGCATTTGGATTCGTATCAGGATCTTCCGCAAAGAGCTCAAACTCATGCACAACCTTTTCACCGCCACTGGAAGTCCTGCTGCTGTTGCGACTATTGGATCTGCCACGAGCGGCAAGGGCCTTGAGAGGAACTTCGTCATCTTCCTCCTCCGAAGAAGAAACATCCTTCTTGCGAGCAGCGACAGGAGGCGCCTTCTTCTTGACAGCAACAACCTTCTTCTTGACAGCAACAGCGACCTTGCGAACAACGATAGCCTTCTTTCGAGCAGCTGGCTTGCGAGGAGATTCGTCTTCGTCTTCCTCTTCCGAAGAAGAATGGTCCCTGAGTCGAAGCGGGGCCGGTTCTTCGTCGTCATCTTGATCCTCTGCCCCTGCACGGAAAGGAGAACTCCTGGAAAGGCTTGCCATGGTGAAAAGTGTATCTGTCGGTGAAAATGGAGATGTCCTTGTCGTGGACGTTTGCGTCGTTTGCGTCGTTTGCGACAAAGGGCTCAAAAATCCAACGATTGGACCAAAGCGAATGAAGGGAGCGCTCATTCAATTTTGTGAGAGATGAGAGCTGCAAAACTGTGGCTTCCCTAGCCCCGATCATTGTTGACGTGGTGGCTTTGGTTGGATTTCGATGGAGCGAAATCCAAGAACGAAATCCAATAACAACCCAATAACAAGCCAACCAACGTCGTATTGCATATCGAACGGACCGGCAAAGAGCGCCGGAGACGCCTAACATCATGGTGGCACCTGAACGCAAGCGAATCAGCCAGTAATCTCATCTTGATGGCGGTTGTGGAAGGATCGATCGATCCATCCATCCAATAACAAAGAGCGAGTTTACGTTGAAAGCCAATGTATGTGGGCTTCGAGCGAGGCCTGTTGGTTGAGCGATACTCAAGCGACCATGCTGCTATGGTACGTCAGACAATTCTTTTGCCAGGTTGCAGCGAATGGCATCTGGCATCAGAATTGCACGAAAAGCCTCAGCGATGTGGAGCAGGCTAGCGATCCAATGGAAGCCAGCCGGAATTCCGGAGTAATCCCCCGGAATCCTAGGAATTCCTGCCGGAATCGTGCATGCCATTAATTCCGGTGACGTTTTACGGTTATCTTTCCGGTGGTTCTATAGAATTCCGGAATCGTACAGTAAGTAGCCAGTAATCCGTAATTCCGGCAGTAATTACCAACCAAGGTACCCGGTACCGCATGGGCGTTGGGGCTCCCGTTCACTTTGCTTGATGTCCGCAGAGAAGATTTTTCTTCGTAAATAGAATTCTATTTTAAGGCTACTCTGAGTACGACTATCCACCGTGCCGCTACCCTAAACCGATAACCCCCACAAACATTGGGGCGGAGAGAGTTGGCCCCCTCAGCCGGGAAAGTTTAAAACCCAACCGAGGCAAGATATTAAGGGGAAGGTCACCAACCGGACCCGCCCGTGCTGCTGCTGTCATCAGCACTGCTACTAGTTGCACTATTGCTGATAGTGTCAACACTGCTGTCATCTAAATCAAGGTCAGACCCGAAAGCCTGATCCAAAGTTGCTGCTGCCTCATGGAAGGCTGCGGCCAGTTGTTGCTGCTCTCTACTTGCTTTGTCAACCACTGGCATCCAATTTGAAAGCCAGGCTTTGATATCGGACGGTGCCATTTCCATTTGGTCCTCTAGTGGCCTTTTGAAAATGGAGTTGACAAGAGACAGTGGCACCTGGTCTGCCTGCTCATACAGAAGCTCTACTTCCCGTTGAAGCTGTTGCTGCTTCTTGATCCAGAGAAGATTTTTCTTCTGTTACGCGTCTAACGAAGTTTAGAGCATGATGGGCAGTCTCTGTCTCAAACCTACTGATGCCGTAACCAAAAGTTGTTGCAACGGTGAAAGATTAGAATTCTGGAATTATGCTGATTGGCAGAGCATTGGAGGCTGAGAAAAGTTTGGATGACAGACGTGGCTGGGAGAGGCATGCTGACTGCGGGCTGCACGATCTGCTTGGGTATCTTTGTACTACTAGCTACCGGTAGGGTGCTTGCGAGCGTTGCAAGGGGACCATTGGGTGTCTGCGGCGCATGGGATCTTGTGCCTGTGGAGGCGTGGGTGGTATCAGATGGCTAGAGGAGTTCAGGTTGAAAAAACAGTGTTACTGTTATGATGTGTTACTGTGTACCTGCGACCACATCAGCCAATCAGACAGTGATTTGACCGTCAGCTGATCCTCTTGAATTGTTCAATCGTGAGATCCACTCGGCCACATGCTTCAAAACTATTTGGAACTATTTAGTTGTTTTCTCTTTTGCCAGCGTTAGGGCTCTACAGTAGCACGTAGCTTATTCCATCTTGTAACGACAACCTCATCAGCACACAAAGAACGCTGGTTGCCTGCCAGGAACCCATGAGGCTAGAAAGCATGTGCATACTTTTGCGCAAAAATCAACGTCATTTTAAAAGGTGGCTCCTTTTCGTGTACCGGAAGACACTGCTTGTCCAGGAAGAAAATCATACTCCAAAGACATACTGGACCATGCCCTCATTTCGTGGGAGCTTCCATGGGAGTTGTTGAGGCCTTACATTGGGATGGACCAGGTGGAGATGGATTTGTAATGGGTTCTTTGTCGGATTGTGCCAAAAAGATTCCCACCATGGCTCCCGTTCCAACAGCGGATCTACCACTTTCCACTTCTTCTTGACAAGCTGTAAAGACTTGAGTCACTTGGTAGAGTTCGTTTGAGTGCTTGTTGAATGCATGTATCTTTGCCTGATATTCGGGACTCTTGCGGAATTTGTCTTGCCGAGCCACATCATCCATCATGTTTTGGAGATCCATCATTTCTCGTCTGATACAGCGGCCCAGCTCCCTGCGATCATACTGGCGTTCTTGGTGGCCTGCATGGGCCAGTGTATCATCAAGTAGTGTGTCATTCGTGTTGGCAGAGACAGTCTTGTCGCCAAGAAGGACTGCCGCAATAAGCAAAAGAACCAAGGATGCCAAGTTCATGGTGGCTGCCAAAAGAGAAAAGAATGGTGGTATGGCAGCAGAAGCTTATGATGTTGGAAGTTGGAAGAGAGATGCTTGTAGCATGTTGGAAGCCCTGGTAAATATTGGCTGACTGGGCTCGGGCCCCATGCACTTCTTGTGCACCCCTTCTTGTCTTGTAATTCATAATTCCTGCATGGAGAGATTGAGAGTGTACCAGTTCGAGTCCGAGGAAAGTTTTGGAATGCCCGTATTAGTTAACGTCGGATTCTCCAAAACGCATGTTTTCCAGTTTCAGCGATTTGGCAGTTCACGTTTTGCAAAGCGTAGATGTTAAAGTCCCAGTCCCACTGCGACATTGACCCTTATATCCACCAGAAGCACGTCCCACGAAGCCAACCAGTATGACTGCCCGGCTCGCGGGACCGCTACTTAGATGTA